GCACTCTTACTGTATACCGCTCTTTAATTTCCACATGGGTGAAGAGCACTGCAACACTGGGCATGATTGGGCACATAGAATAGGCAAATTGTCAGGCTGCAATAGCTTTACAGAGATGACACGACCACTTTGAAAGAGTTCAGAACTAAATCGCCCCGTCAGAACCGGATTGGACCGAGGCTCGAAACAGAGCTCGGCATGTGTCTCGAGGCCGATGTAACCCCCGCCACCGCGCACGGCCCGCGCCGCCGTCACGCCGCCGCCCGCCGCGCTGCCGCCGCCGTCTCGCGCGATGACTTACAACCGCCGCGCGCGCCACGAAACCCGAGCCGGTCGGCGGCGCGTTGTTTGCACCCGCGAAGCCCGGTGACCAACGCAAGCCGATTACGCGCGATAACCAGGAGGAAAAGAAAACTGGGAAGCCGGCGCGGCGCGGGAGCTGGCGCTGTTTGCTGCGGCCGGCGGCGCCGCGGGCGCGGCGTTGACCTGCCGGCTTTGCAGCGGATGAGGCGCCCACCGGCGTGTCAACATCGCAGCTCCGCTATCGCCGCTCAGCTGTCCGGTCAGGCAGCCGCCGGCTCTGATTTATCAACCCTGCGGGTGAAGTCAAGTGGGGCGGTGCCGCGAGCGGTGCTAAAGCGATATCGATTGGTGTTGCGAGATGAGGCAACGTGAGCCACCTGGCGGTCGCGCGACGCCGCCGCCTGTCGGCCAGGCGGCGGTCTGACCAGCCACGTGCGCGGATGGGGATGTTGAGGGATGGAGCGCCACGGAGGCCGTACAACACCAAATCTAACAAAGCGGCAGCCGCTGGACCGGCTTGGCTGTTGCAAGACTCGGTCCCGGCCAACGAAAAGAAACCAGGAAGGGCTGGTTCGGACGACTGTTCACCAGCAATGTTGGGCGGTACGCGGATGCGGAGGATCGCATCCGCTGATGCAATTGCCCCACGTCACTGGGAATAGGAGCGATAGCGATTCTGGCCGCGTGCCAACGCGGTGTCACTCGAGACAGGTCCATGCTATTCGTGAGTCCAGATGAATTAAGAAAGCACGCGCACACGGGTTGTGAGGTGGTCGGTTACGTATCGCAAGGCTTATGGGACCTGCGTTCCGCGACCTACTTCGGATACTACGCCCAGAAGATTTACACTCAGAATGTCCGTCTTCGAACGACTTGTTTTCAGCAGGCACACAATTTAAAATCATTGAAAGGAGGCTTACGCTCAGAACGCCGCTTTTGTGCCTATGTTCTGGCCTGGTTCCAAACCCACCTGCAAAAGGTCTAAGTCCAGAAGGACCAATTTCAGGCCCTTCTCCACAAGGCCTAATTTCGAGTTGTTTCTGAGAAGACTTACATTTAGAAGGCCCACGTTCAGAAGACCTACGTTCTTCTTTCCGGCGGCCTGCCTGCGCAGTGAGCGTGTTTAGAGGGCATGCCCCCGAAAACCTTGTGCGCAACAGGCCAACTCGTGCACGGCTTGTGCACAGGTCTTCTGCCACACGCCTGTGATCTCAAGGTCTACTTGCACTGGGAAACAGGGCCACCGGTTCACCTCATTTTTCCATGTTTCTTGCGTTGGGTACGTTTATGGAGAGGAGTGAAAAAAAACAACTTGAATAACCCTCGATGCCCCTCCAGCCCTTAGCCTCCTCTCGAGTGTGCAAGTAAGACCTCTGAACATCGGGCTTCAGGAAGTACGCTTCCTGAACAGAAGCCCCTACAAGTACGTTCAAATACTTACAAGTACGTGCAAGTACGTAGAAGTACAAGTACGTTCCTTGTGCAAATACAAGTGCAAGCGCGTCCTCTACGCACGTGCAACTACGTCCTCTTAACACGGAGGTTCCGAAAGTAAGCCGTCTGAACACGACCATAGTGTATGCAGACCTGAATTCAGGCCTCTTAAAAGCAGCGGTTTGGAACGTACGTCATCTGAACAACGATCTTCTGAACTCAGTAAGGCTATGAACGTAAACCTTCCGAGAGGACGTCTTCTGAAAACAGACCATCTTAACGGAAGCTTTTTCCAGGAAACTTACCTTTGGAAGGAATACATTCAGAGTCTATTCTCAAAGCCTTTCGAGAGCGGCTGGTTTCAGAAAGCCTTTTTCAGGAAGTCTCCTTTTAAAAGGCCTAGCCATATAGCACACTTCAAACATGCCTTCTGTTCATCGAGGCCTGCATCAAGAAAGCCCATTTTCAGAGAGCTCACGACCAGATTACGTTCAGAGAGCCTACTTTCATAAGACATATTAAACTGCCTAGCTCTGCTTAGGTAAAAATTTCGGACACATGGCCGCTGAAAACAGGTCCTTTTAACGTAAGCCAGAAAAGACTTTCCGAAAACAGGCATCCCAAACGTCAAGTTAGGGTCTGGGCCTACCCATCACTCATCACCTACCAAGCGTCAAGTTAGGGTCTGGGTCTACCCATCACTTATCACCTACCGAATGCTCTCTGTTGGCCACAGCCAAGGCAAGAGACGCGATCAACCCAATAATACACTTGATGGCAATGCTGAGGGTTGTATGGTGCCCACGCGTAACTCGCTTCCGGAAAAAAACGGGGATGCTCAGTCACCCTTAACCCCATGACACTAATCCTTCAATCGACTCCACTGCCAGCAGAAGACATCAGCTTCACTGAAAATTTGTTATCCAATGTATATCAGCGGCATGTGATAAGTCCCGGGAGAGGTCCGGTCGGCGGCTGGGAGGAAGACTTCACTCGACGGACACCTGGGTGGAGCCAATGTTATCGGGTGCCGGTAGTGTAGTGGCTAACGCGTCTGCGTTAAGCACTGCGCGTCTGGGAAACCAGAGGTACAGAGTTCGATGCCCCGCGGTGCCCTGGGTGAGAGGCAGACGAAGCCCTACAGCCTCAGCAGCTGAATACGTCGTTCAGTCCCCAATGACACATGGCTGGAGCCATTACGCCAATGCAACATGAACGATGATGTGGCTGAAGGAGATGGTCGCGTTGGCATGCAAATCTGGCTATCGAAACACTGAGATGCCATTCCATCATTCTTTTTTCTGAGGCATTCCAACGAAGAGAAACAAAATAACTTATGGCATCAGCGGACAATCACAAACCATCTTTAATACCAATCCAATAAGCTTCCTAAATACTAGGTAATAGATCGTTAACATGTCTTGATTATAAATGCACACACTAAGATCGAAAATATCGTACTGATCATGACCGAGACAAAAAGTTGGTCAACATGTCCAAAATGCTCTTGAAACGTCTCTTGCCTCGGGAAGCCTCCCCTAACACAACCTTACGTAACGCGCCTCCTCGCGCGCCCGAACACGACGCCGAATGATCACAACACACTGCTAGCGGAGTCGCGCGCCGTCCAATCACAGCACAGTGGACAGCAAGCGTCAGCTCACAACGCGGACCGAACACCCGCCCAACCGACACAGCTGTCTTTGCGGTGCGTATGTACACGATGGACGCTTCCCAAACAAGCACAGTATGCACGGAATCCCAAAATACGGGTCGATTTCGTTTCAGTACACCACTTTTAAAATCAAATTTACGACGTGTCTGTACAGTGATTGCCACGTTTAAAGCGCCCCTTGAGCAATACACGTTTCACCCGCGTCCCATTCGAAGTAGTGGCTACCTGTCGAGCCACTGGACATGAACCGCCAGGCTCGCCACGCGGCAAGAGCCCGTCGGCTGTATCACCATTCCGACTAGATATCTGGTCGCTTCCAGATGGGGACCTGGTCGGAGATCTCGCCGTCGCGACAACGGGGTCCGTACATCGTGTCGACAGTGGACTCCCAGTGCCGGCAGAATTGTACCTATCTACTCGCAGCGGCGCGGTGTCGCAGCGGCATGGACCACAGCCGCCCCAGTCTCTAGCACTACGCTACTGGCGGCAGCTGCTCAGCGGCTGACCGGCAGCTGCCCAGCGGCTGACCGGTGGCGACGCGGAGCTCTTCCCATTGATCGCATCGGCGTCGCCGGTGGTCTCACAACCGGTTTATGGTGGCGTATCGACCTCGGACATCCGCCCTGCCGCGGGAATGGACCCGACTTTTCACCTATGGCGGGGATTGACCTACCATCTGACCTATCGCGGGCATTGACCTACCATCCGACCTAGCGCTGGCATTGACCTACCATCTGACCTAGCGCTGGCATTGACCTAACATCTGACGTTTTGCGGCACATCATTCTGTCCCCAGGGTGCACACTGATGGTGATCCGCTAAATGCTCCCCGGCGGCACAGAGCTCTCGCTTCCGGCGGCACACTGAACCAGAAACAGACCCTCAGCGACACCCAGAGCCAACGACCAACATCGGGGCGCAGTCCTCCGATACCCAGCTCCGCAAGGATGTTGATTCAACACTCCTCTCCGGTAGCATGGTAAGCTGACCCCAAACGGCCCCGGCTCCGACCGCCGAGTCCCAGCCGTGGCTTCACCTGACCCGGGAGGTGGGACACCAGTCTGGGCAGCGATCGCTGGCGCACTCTTCCCGTGTAGTCACGCTACACGTCCGGTTAGCATAAGTGGTGAGTTAACGCCGATGATGTCTGCAAAGCAGTGGTTTGCAAGTGGCCGATGAATCTTACCAGGTGCTCATAAAGCCAGCTAATGCTATTGCTCGTCATTAACGGGCATCGGAGCATTGGCTCGCTGATTCTAGCAAACTTATGGCCCAGGTCGACTGCAATTATTGCTGGAGAATTTTAGTCCGCATGTCGGCAGCCAGGGTTTTGTTACGGTCAGATGTGCGTGATTCTCCCACCACAACCGGGCGCGATACGTCCTCCTGCGGGGGTCCCGCGTCCGCATGCCCTGTCCTGCGCCACCCAGTCAGCCAGGGTGTTGTTACGGTCAGATGTGCGTGATTCTCCCACCACAACCGGGCGCGATACGTCATCCTGCGAGGTCCCGCGTCCGCATGCCCCGTCCTGCGCCACCCGGTCAGCCAGGCCCCATCCCCCCCCCCCCCCCCCCCGACACCACACCGACAGCCAGCATTCAACGCGGTGCTTCTCGGCAGTCGCGTGGGTCTGCGAAGACTCGCCTCGCCGGGCGGGGCTTGGTCTGCGCCGTTCAGTGCGCCGCACGCGACGGGGGCATACTGCGCTCTCTGGCTGCCTCCTCCGCTGCCGCTCACGCAGCCCGGGCTCCGCGGCCAAAGCTAGAAGTGCTCCCGCTGCTCAGCTCGGTGACTCGCCAGCACTCGCTGAAGCCAGCGAAGCCTCGGTACTCTGCTAACGCCAGCGACCCCCAGCTACCCTGCTAAAGCCAGCGACTATTCGGTGTTCTTCGGAGCTGCCAAAGCCAGTGACACGTCAGCTGCTGAGGCCAATGCGTTCCCTGTGCGCCGCCCGAGCAAGCCTCCCCCGTTGCACGCGCCCTCCTTCGGAGCGCGCGCCTGGGAGCGGGCGCGCCTCCTCGCCGCACCGGTCAGCAGATGAGAACACACAGCTCTGACGAGTAGACACTGCCGATGCCAAACTGGACGGGCAGGTGGACCGTCAGCGGACGGCCGGCGGCGCCCGGCGCCAGCTCGGCCTCAGCGGCGAGCTCGGCCTCGGCCGCCGCCGCCGCCGTCGGGGTCGCGGTCGATGTCGTGCCGCAAAGGTAAACGTCTTCTGGGTGTCATAAGTCGGGGAACCTGCCGGCAGCGGCACAGGTTGTCACAGCAGCCGCCTTCTGAACATATCATGATGCCCGCCAAACACACGATATGGTTTCGATGGCCAGCATTTAATTAATAGCCAATGTTTGATAGAAAACACGCACCCATGGTACGTGGCAGGACCCATTTCGGCAACACGGCTTGCTCGCATCTACCGCTAGCAGCGACACCAGAGCGCATAGTCTTTCAGCAGTAGCTGGCAGACGGCAGCACCAGTCGCGAGCCACTCTCCAACCAGACAGCCCATTACGCCCATCAGAACAGCGCCGACACGGCCACGCCACGCAGCTGTGCGTGTGTTATAACCGGGCAGCACGAGCCACAACCGCGCCGTCGGCGCCGGCAGCGCGGGAGCAGGCCGGCAGCACCGGCGGGACGCCAGCTCGGCGGAGCGCCGCTCACCTGGCCGGGTCCTCTGTGTACTCGGCCGGCACCGTGAACAGGTGGCTCGGGTGGCTATCCTCGAAGTAGAAGTCTTGGAAGGTGATCTGGGCGGTGATGGCCGGGATCAGTGGGATATCTGCGGCGGCGACAACTCAGTCAACGATCAGGACAACGGAAGTGACACACCAATATGGGCCAGAGTATGTCCGACGCCACCAGCCTACGAAACAAACCAAGACGAAAACAAATCTATCGTGAGAAGCCGTCCCTTTAACCACCGGCATGCACGTGGCAGAAGCCACACCAGGCCAAGTGAGTGGATGTTGCTATTGCACGACTCTGCATGTAGACCAGAGGCCCCGTCAATAGACTCTAGCTGTATCTGACAGATAACCAGTCCTTTCAATGATCAAAACGTTATAGATGCTCTTCCTCACAAGTTACATGAGCACATCTGCATGTAGGTTTGGTGTCCTACAACTGTGAAGCAACTCGTTCTGCCGCGAGGGAATCAGACACGGGAATACTCACCTAGCTTGACAGGAAATCCGGGTGGGAGTTTACATTGGACGAACTGCTTGAGCTTGCTGAAGTGCTTGAAGGGCGCCACGACGTCCAAAACGTCCAATAGCATGCTGACCGTCAGTGGGAACTGTTGACTCTGCACACCGAGGTCCGTACCATGTTAGCGCACTGATACGCATACGCACGCATAATATACAGCCTCGCCGCGATCACGGGCAAGCCAGTTTCACAAAACATCTAATTGTACGTGGGTTTTAATAGCACATCCGCAGGTGGCACAACTGACCTGGCCCACGCTCGAGCCAGAGCCACACTCCGGGGAGCACAGTATCCGTGCCGCACCGCTACACGAAAGCAACTATTGGTACCGCCTTCTACTGGTCAAAACAGCACTGCTGGAAGTACGAGTGCCCCCCTCGAGAAAACAAATGGTCCCTGGGTCAAGGACATCCTGAGCACCCTATGTCACCCTCAAGCGACTGACTACCGCCGGCCAGCCGGCTCTCCTGGCCAGAGCTGGCCGCCAGCGGACAGCGATGAGACCCGCTGCGCCCGGGACAACAGCCAGTCGGCGTTCATTCTGGCCAGCCCCGGCGCTGATTGCGGCCCCAGCCCGGCCGGTGTCGTTCGCCACGCGTCCATCAGCGCTCACTGCGACCTCGTGATGCCGATTACGACCAAACTTCGGCCGAGCGACGATTCCGACCCAGGCCCGGCCGACGCTGATTCTGACCGAATCCCGACACCAGCACAGCCCCTGAACCGAATTCAGCCGACGCGCAGTCCCTCTAGACCTCGGCCGGCTCCAGCCTGAGCACCCACCATGGCCAGCGTGGCGTTCTTGAAGCGCTTGCAGCTGACTTTGGAGATGATGGCGCGGCCGACGTGCGGCGCGTTGGCCGGGTCAGCCGTCAGGTACTCCTCCCAGGAGATAGCCGGCGCCGCCGGCGGCTCCAGCGAGGTTCGGTGCGGCGGCTGCGGCACGGCGCCGCCGGTCAGCCGGCCGACGCACAGACGACAGCGCGACGGACAGGCCCACGGCCGGGGAGCGTCCGCAGCCGGCCAAATGGACCGCGGTGGGCCACCGATCTCCGGGGTCAACGCAGAAGCACCCGCGCACGCTCATACGGACGGCATATGTCCAGCATTCGCGCAGCACCCCACAGTGGTACTTCATGGCCGAGAGCACAAAACTACTTGATCAAACAGGGCATGGAAAAGCATGCCCATGATACTCGCGCCCCCAGTCAGCCGTCAGCCAAGGATCCCGACAGCTCAGAACAAGCCTCTCCCATACCCATGACACTCGCGTCCTCAGCCAGCCGTCAGCCAAAGGCCCGACAGCTCAAAACAAACCTCTACCATGCCCATGATACTCGCGCCCCCAGTCAGCCGTCAGCCAAGGATCCCGACAGCTCAGAACAAGCCTCTCCCATACCCATGACACTCGCGTCCTCAGCCAGCCGTCAGCCAAAGGCCCGACAGCTCAAAACAAACCTCTCCCATACCCATGACACTCGCGTCCTCAGCCAGTCGTCAGCCAAGGATCCCGACAGCTCAGAACAAACCTCCCCCATGCCCATGACACTCGCGTCCTCAGCCACCCGTCAGCCAAGGACCCACACAGCTCAGAACGAACCTCTCCCATGCCCATGACACTCGCGTCCTCAGTCAGCCGTCAGCCAAGGACCCACACAGCTCAGAACAAACCTCCCCCATGCCCATGACACTCGCGTCCTCAGCCACCCGTCAGCCAAGGACCCACACAGCTCAGAACGAACCTCTCCCATGCCCATGACACTCGCGTCCTCAGTCAGCCGTCAGCCAAGGACCCACACAGCTCAGAACGAACCTCTCCCATGCCCATGACACTCGCGTCCTCAGCCAGTCGTCAGCCAAGAACCCCGACAGCTCAAAACAAACCTCTCCCATGCCCATGACACTCGCGTCCTCAGCCAGTCGTCAGCCAAGGACCCCGACAGCTCAGAACAAACCTCCCCCATACCCATGACACTCGCGTCCTCAGCCAGCCGTCAGCCAAAGGCCCGACAGCTCAAAACAAACCTCTCCCATGCCCATGACACTCGCGTCCTCAGTCGGCCGTCAGCCAAAGGCCCGACAGCTCAAAACAAACCTCTCCCATACCCATGACACTCGCGTCCTCAGCCAGCCGTCAGCCAAAGGCCCGACAGCTCAAACAAACCTCTCCCATGCCCAGACACTTGCGTCCTCAGTCGGCCGTCAGCCAAGGCCACCGACAGCTCAAAACAAACCTCTCCCATGCCCGTGACACTCGCGTCCCCAGTCAGCCGTTAGCCAAGGACCCCGACAGCTCAAAACAAACCTCTACCATGCCCATGACACTCGCGTCCTCAGCCAGCCGTCAGCCAAGGACCCACACAGCTCAGAACAAACCTTTCTCATGCCCATGACACTCGCGTCCCCAGTCAGCCGTCAGCCAAGAACCCCGACAGCTCAAAACAAACCTCTCCCATGCCCATGACACTCGCGTCCCCAGTCAGCCGTCAGCCAAGAACCCCGACAGCTCAAAACAGACCTCTCTCATGCCCGTGACACTCGCGTCCTCAGTCGGCCGTCAGCCAAGAACCCCGACAGCTCAAAACAAACCTCTCCCATGCCTGTGACACTAGCGTCTTCAGCCGGCCGTCAGCCAAGGACCCCGACAGCTCAAAACAAACCTCTCCCATGCCATGACACTCGCGTCCTCAGCCGGCCGTCAGCCAAGAACCCCGACAGCTCAGAACAAATGACACTGCAAACCAACTCCAACGCGCGTTCCATGCGTTCAGCCCGCTGTAGGCCGGCGGGCAGCCTGCGCAGCCGCGCGGCGTCGGCGCGTCCCACCTCTCGGATCTCCTCGGTGTCTAGCTGGTGGGCACTGCCGCGCGTGATGGTGTCCATCAGCGCCTTGTTCTTCTGCAGGTCCTCGGCGGACAGGTGCTCGCGCCGCTTGCGCGTCTCCAACACCACGCCATGCACGTCATAGAAGTCGGCGTCGTACTTGCCGACCATCTCCTGTGGAACAGCGGGGGTCAGCAGCAGCCGTCGTCGTCGCCGTCGCTCAGCCGTCGGCGCGACCCCTCTCCACATCGACGGCCAGGCGCTCTCGATGGCCACGCGCCGGCTCTCGACGGCCACGTGACTCTCTACACGGGTCGGCCGCTTCACCACGACCGGTGGCACCAGACACGCGACAAACAACAGAGGGCAGCGTGCGGACAGGACCGGCGGGGCAGGACGACAGATACGGACAGAGCAACGGGCCAGACACGCGACAAACAGCGGAGGGCAGCGTGCGGACACGGCCGGCGAGGCAGGACGACAATACGGACAGAGCAACGGGCCAGACACGCGACAAACAGCGGAGGGCAACGTGCGGACACGGCCGGCGGGGCAGGACGACAATACGGACGGAGCAAAGGGCCAGACACGCGACAAACAGCGGAGGGCAGCGTGCGGACACGGCCGGCGAGGCAGGACGAATATACGGACGGAGCAACGGACACTGACGCTGGCCCAGGTCAGGATGGCAGCACCCTCTTCATGGACACCGCATGCTGTGATAACTCCTACACAGCACACAGCGATTATAGCGCGGCTTGGCCTTGCAAGCATGTGTCTCATACCTTTCTGTCCGACCGGAAGAACCATCCCTGCTGAGATCGCGTGAAAGTGATGGACTTAGTGGACATCTGGGCTGATACAATATCGCTGCTCATCAGAATGTCAATCTCCTCTTCAATCTCCAGCTCCGTCTCCTAAAAAAAATTCAGCGATAGATGCAGAAACACCGAGCAACATAGAACTGGGCAGATAAAAAAACAGAGTGCAGAACTGGCATTGGGGAAACCTGATCTGAAGAAAAACGATTAGCACGGGCTCTTAAACCCATCAGTTCATCACAACCCTGCCGTGTAACTCATAACTCCAAAACTTTTATGCAGATTTTTGCATAGCCCAATCCAACCACGGCGATGTTAACCCAACGGAAATTTAGTAAACAACACAATGCCGCCTACACACTCGGGCGATCCCAGAAAAAAAACACACAAAAAACATCGCGGGTAAGCCTGTGCATCCCTGAAATGTGCTCGGGCGCTCTGTCTTACCTCATACCGCACTGTCTGGTACACGCGCAGCTTGTTGTCCAGCACGCACAGCGACTGGGAGGGCGGCGCGTCGCCGTTGAAGAGGAAGCTGATGTCGCCGCGCTCCCACTTGAAGTCGGCGAAGTCCACCAGCGTGGTGTCCAGCCGGATGGAGGCGCCGCGCTTGTAGATCTTGCACGTGTCCGAGGGCAGGATCCGGTGCAGCAGCGGCACTGCGGCCGGGGCGGGCACGGCGCACTCAGCCGGGGTGTCGCACGTACCGACATCGTACAGCGGACACGCATGGTATTAATTCGACTGGGAGGGCATACTGTGACTTCCTTACGAGGTGTACAAATGATGCAGATAAAAGTAAGTGAATATGCATGAATTTACGTATATATTCACAAAATGCACCGATATGCTCCTCGTAAACAAAGAGAGCTATTGCAGATCGCCATGGTTATGATGATCAAATCTGGACTAGAATCGTGGAAAATCTTGCGAAATGCAAGATGTTTCACGCGTTCCAAAATTTACGTAATTGACCATGAGCAGTTTTCACCTAAATATGCCAACGGTGGCCGGCTGTCACTGAAAGGCCACCACCGCACACTGGGCTTGCACCTGCTGAAGTCTGTCGCCACCGCGAGCTCGGGACACACACAAGAGAGACTCACCCCAGGTCTGGAAGTCCCACTTGATCTCCATGTAGAAGTCGGGGATCTGGTGGAGGGCGGCCACCAGCGCCGGCCGCCGCCGGTCCATCTGCTCCCGTGACTGGCTCTTCAGCTTCCGCAGCAGCGACGACACTGGCGGGCGGCGCGGATGGTCAGACGCGCCCCCCGCCGCGCTACACCCAACAGCACCCGACCACACACGCAGGTCACATCGCCTAGTGTTCCCGACAGCTGCCACTGTCAACAGCCGCCGACGGGCCGCTCCACCAGCCCACTCTCTCGCCCTCCTCGGCCCGTGGCGTGCCGCGCTATCACGGCAGCAGCCCTGCCTCACCACACAGCCGCCCTAATGAGCCCGCCCGCCGTGTCGGGCCGGGACGGCCGGCCCCGCCGCCTGCCAGTCCGGCTCCGACGGCCGTGTCGGGCTCCGACGGCCGTGTCGGGCTCAGACGGCCGGCCCCGCCGCCTGCCAGTCCGGCTCCGACGGCCGGTCCTGTCGCCTGCCGTGTCCGGCTCCGGCGACCGGCCCGCCGCCTGCCGTGTCCGGCTCCGGCGACCGGCCCGCCGCCTGCCGTGTGGCCCGTCGTACCTGTCTGCCGGTCGCCGTAGCTGATGGCCTCGGCCAGCGGGCTCCAGCCATGCGTGTTGCGGATCTTGACGGTGGCGTTGCGGGCCAGCAGCAGCATGGCGATCTCTGGCGGCAAGTCGTCACCAGACGTCGCAGTACGGAATATGTGCGGCCGCGGGGCCTAGCTACCACCGTCAAGTGACGGCAGCGAGCGGAATGCATAACATAGTAGGCGTGAAGGCTGAATCATTGCAGTTATGTTACCTGGTTTGAAATGCTGACAACATAACTTGATTTAAGGTTATTCAGCAATCAGTGTGGGGGTGGGGGTGGGGGGGAGGGGGGCAAACAAGAATGAAAATCAGCATATCAGAGCACATCTCAGTCACCATTACACTTGGATGAATTCAGGCTTCATAATACAATCAAGGACATAGATTACTGGCATGCATTGGGTAGGGTGGGAGGTGGTTTTTATGGTGCCTGCAAGTATGTGTTAAAAGGTACTCACCTTTCTGGCCCAGCATAACTGCTAAATGAAGTGGCGTATTCCCTGGAAAGTGTGAAAATAAAATGAGGTGGTGTATTCCCTGGAAAATTTGAAAATGACATCATTCCAGTACAGTCCATGAAAGAATACAACATACAACTGGAATTAAAATAAGCTATGACCACTTGGGAATGGGAAATTCAACAAGTACATGACAACAGTGGACAGTTATCAGTGCCACATGGTACACAATATGAAAGCAGACAATTTTTGAAAATCTCAAACAAAGGCAAGGCAAAAAAAGCACAGAATGTGGAGTCAAAATCGATGCAGAGTCTCTTACCATGCATATCCTTTTCATCAATGTCATGATGCCTGAGCAGGTGAGGAATTTTCTTTATTTTTCCTTTGTACACACACTCATGAAGTGGAAACTCAACCTTTGAAGATGAGCCTGGTTCAGTGCCATCAGAGCTTCCTACAGATGGTGGGGTTGAGTTATTTTGGCTAGCTGCCATCATTTTACTTGCAACTCAATGACCATTGACATGAGAACATAGACTTCTTTCTTTGTTACTGGCCAATCCATCCAGCAATTCCTGTGAGCAGGAAACAGAACACATGGTCAAAGCAGTTTCCAAAGCAGAAATACACATCAACAATAGTTAAGTAGCATGCTTAATCAGAGCAAGTGAAGGAACTTGTTAGCAATAGGCAAATACTATGCTTTTAAGAAAATTTTAACTTTATAAAGCAAGGGCTGTGTGCATGCTGCAATGATATTGCTGTCATGCTCATAAGCAAATGAATTTTGGAAAAGTCATACCTATACAAAGCCTTTGTCATCACTTTGTCCTGTCACATGCAGAAAATGGCATCCTTTAACAGATAAGTGGCTCACAGCATTATCAGCAAATATGTGCAACACAGCCCTGGTGCTCGCAAACCTGCTGTTTGTAATTTGTAAAGCTGGGATGGGTTGAGTTTGGTTGGCTCAGATTAAATCTGATTGGGTTGGGTTGGGTTGGGTTGGGTTGGGTTGGGTTGGGTTGGGTTGGGTTGGATTGGACTGGGTTGGCCATGTTGGATTAGGCTAGGTTGGGCTAGGTAAAGTTGAGCTAGGTTGGGCCATACCAATTTAAACCATGCTAATCCATGAGGTTAGTTTAGGTTTGGTCACATTACATCATGTTAGGACACCACCAGTGCCATACCTGCTGTATGGTTCCACAAAGATCAATATTGGGCAGCAGGTTGGGCATGACAAATGCAAAAAGAACATGATAGGCAGATTACAAGCATGACCCTATGAGGATTCCCTGTATCATGAGCTACTTTCATGAAAATATTTTCTACTTCCATGAAAAAGGCCCAGGTCCATCAAGCTCCTGTCCTTTGGCTTATCTTCTGTCTTTGATATGCAGCCATCCATCCAAAATACATTTGCCAATCTTTTTTCCAGAACCTCAAAGCTACGCATATTCCTCATACACACAAACAACTTTTTTACTATCATTTGTCACCGAAATCATCATACAAAACAAGAAAGCCCAGGCAGAGGATGACACTGAACATCTAACTACGAAAAGGAGCAAGCCGGTTATCACCGTCAGTTTCGTGAAGAGCTACTTACCTAGCGAGTCCAACGAACCACATCTGAGCTGACTTAGAACGGTTTCACATGTGCACAAAAAAGGAACGCTAGGAACAAGGAAGTCTTTGACCGCCGTTCAGGTCCAAAACACCGCATGCGTATAACTCGACCATTCCTTACCGAAACCGCTACTAGACCTGTGCTGGCCTTGCTAATCTAACCGCAACCTGCTACTACTTCGTCCCCTTCGCCAACAGAACTTCAATCTCTACCGTTTCTACCCATCTGCTTCCCCTACCCTGAGACGAAACTAGCGCTATGCTTCGTCGTAGATTGGAAACATGAGGGCTGGTAGAACTGAGTGGAAAATATTGTCACACATGCGTCATTCAATACCCTTGGATTTCCAACTATTAGCAAGATCGTAGGGACGCTTGATCATCAGGGGCGTACGCGTACTGGCAAGGCTCTCATATATCCACTTTATCCTCGCTTGCTTATATCTAGGCTAACGAAACAGAAGACTTAGCCTTGTGTCGCATGGATGGTGTGTCGTTGTGTGCAACGGCGATTGTGGGATAGGCCAGAACATACTAGTGACGCCGGCATCGAATTCACGTGGATAAAGAAAGAATACGATAAAACAAACTTGTGCTGATCCATAGGCAGGTACGCAGGTTAGTCATATTGGTGCTGAAAGTGTCGAAGAATGATCAGAAAATTTCGCTATCAAGTGGTTTCTAGCCCTATTTATGGGTGGTTTGGACCAGGCAGGAGTACTTGAAAAGTTGACTTGTTGGTGTTTCTGTACTTCGAGAAGTTCTGCGTATGAGGAATTAAAAAAGGAAATTGTGTTATTAGAGTGCACAAAAACTTGGGTAATGGCATAATCATGTACACATTATGCATGTTGAGTGTCATTCTCTAATAATTTTCAACAGCATTCTGAGACAACCAGACACAACCAAGTCATGGGAGAGGGTGGCCAGGAACCTTATCTCAGACTGATATGCTAATTTTTTGTCATGCTGATTCTTCTGCGTTCCATGGTCAGGACTGTTAAATGATTGTCAAACAGTCAGTTGCCAAAGTATCGGGATGCCATGCACCTGTAGCAAAGTTTAGCACAATGTGTTTAGGTGTTTGGTCAGTCAAACATGGTATTACTGCCCATGAAATATAAAAAACAGGTTTTCCCTCAAATTTTATCCACTCTGTTCCTTAAAGGTGGAGGGAGAAGGGGCTAAAGCCCCCCCCCCCCCCCCCCAACTGAATAGGAAACTACACCTCTGTCATGCACACTTGCTTGCATGCAAATTACAAGGCTATTACCAGCAGGGCAGGCAGCTCCAGACCACAGCAGCATGGTACAGGCATGCCATTGGGGCCCAGCCATACAATCTGACAAGGAGGGCATGCCCATATTCATTAGTGTGGCCACCAGGTGGGGCTGGAGAGTATTCCACTCTAATGTTCTCAAAGTTATTTCCCCCTCCTAAAAATGTCATAAAATGCATGTGATCCACACTTTCACCATTCCAAATGCCACTTTCAGATCAGGTTATCCCCAATAATTTCAGTTTGCCCCCCCCCCCCCTCCCCAACCATGATTTGTCTCCCCAATCTCAGAGATATAGCTTTATCCATGTCCACACATCAGATGATTAAAGTCAGTGCTATATTGTAATGAAGAAGGCTGGCTCACACTTGAGTTCACTCTAATGTAATTAGCTCTGGCCTATTTTGAAGTCTCTACAATATAAACATAGACTTCAAAATGCTTTTTGATAAACATAAAATATGACAAACCCACCATGCACAGCTGCTGGCAAGCTGGAAAAATGAATCTGGGCTCATCAAATCCTTAAGCTCATTAAAGTTGTGCCCCTCCCTTGCCTTTGCATACCATATATAGCAAGTCTGTCTGCAGAACTAGTTGAGGACACCTGGTACTGGAACTCATGCATGCATTTGAAGAATGCATGCTATATGTATGTCACTCTCACAGAATGCCTGCTCATATTGTGCTGCATTTCAGGTTATTTACATTGCACTCTTGGTGAAGGTTACTTTTGGCACTTTCAAATTCTCCTGCTCCCACACAACCTTGTTTGCTTGTCACTGGATGTTTCTTGTCAGCTTTAATAAATTTGAGCAGAAAGAACTCTACATGTTGCTGTTTTGTATATATGGATGCATCTGACCAAGGATTTGAACTTTATAAACATCTTTGCACAATATGCTGTGTCACATACAGCCTGGGCTGTGCTACACCACATCTTTGATTGTACTTTTCTTCCTCATCCGACACATCTGAGGTATTCCTGTACTTCAGATCTCCACGGAGAAGGACGCAGGGATCAGTGCGGACGACGACCCGAAATCGTGTAGATAACCAGCGTCCTCCGGGACTGACCAGGTACTGGGCGTCCTCAAACACTCTTTCGACCACGTTGACCGTGGAGCCCCACCCCGTGCTCTGCGAAACCCTGGCGAGACCGCTTTCAGAGTGCAGAAGTGTCAGCGGATTTCTTTGGTCTGGTAGACCAATAGCTCATTGAAAGGGCGTGGCGACGCACAGTCAGACGCGTGCCGGCGATTCGTCACTTGGAAAGTGAGAGGCGACTCCGATCCCCCGGCCGTCCGCCAGGGCAGTGGAGAACACGCGGGAACACAGTGAGCCCCGTGCGCAGCCCCGTGGCGATTTCATTGATTTGGCTGATCATGCTACAACGATCAAAAGGCACCTATGTGAAGGCTGCAACGCATTCAGTTCACTCGAGGATAAAGGGAACCATTTCGGAGCCGTGGTCATTAACGACTGAAACGGGCGGCCAGAGCAAGCACTTTGTTCACCTGCCATTAACAGGTTGAAAATAACCCTTGGCACGCACTGGTCTGGACTGGTCCGTCCGTCCGTCGCTTCAGCACAGGGTGCCGGAATTAGGATCTGTGTAAGAGCTCGGCAGGGCCAGTGGACCAAAAGGGCCTCGGGCCTTCAAGGACTCTGATCTACACAGGCGCACGAATACTGGAGTGTAATTTCAAAAGAGATCGAACGTGGCGCGGTCCAGTGTCCGTGACTATCTGTCACGGTGGACATGGCGGAATCGTGTACTGATGACGCCGCTGGAGACGAGAACTCGCGAGCTCCTCGACCCGGACAGCGCTGTCCGACGTATGGTCCGCGTCGGTCTTCCGCGTCACCACTTTGGCGCACAATTTGAGGCAGGGGACCTCCGCTCATGCATCGTCACAGATCGCGATGGCTGGGCCTGGAGCAGGAATGAGGCGCGGACGAGGCCGGACACCGCCGGGCACGTGACGCGCACGGACCTGTGGTTGTTACTACTACTGAACAGTACATCAACCCGTCTTTCGTGTAACGTTTTGAAGAGGCGCGACGACGAGGCCCTTTGTTTGCACACAATGGTTTGCTCGCGTGTGTAGTGCCACGAGTTCCCGGCTACGCCAGCGGTGGTACCAATCCCATGTCTTATGTAAGCATCCAGTGATAGTCATGGTGAGGCCTCCCAGCAATTACTCTAGCTAGTTTCGTGAGCCATGACTCCAGCCGGCCTTACCAGCAATGGATCAAGTTGGACTTTTCACTAGTTGCTTCAGATTGAGCCAGTGCTATGAGCAACGGCGAGGGCTATCAGTGGGGTTTTGACTTAACTTTATCAACACTGGTTCAAAGGGCTTTGCCAGCAACAGTTCCAGCTGAATGCGCTATCAATGGTCGTACCTTTTTTGATGCCAGCTGTCCCGGGCAGCCGTTGTCAGGATCAGCCAAGATCACAGCCTGCCGTATGCGGTAACTCTGGTCACATGCGAATGTCCTGATCCTCGGAGCAGCGCCCGGATCGCGGTCGTCCCGTCCGTGCCGCTTCCTCCCCGTCCCGTCCGTGCCGCTTCCTTTCCGTTCCGTCCGTGCCGCTTCCTCCCCGTTCCGTCCTTGCCGCTTCCTTCCCGTTCCGTCCTTGCCGCTTCCTCCCGTCCCGTCCGTGCCGCTTCCTCCCCGTCCCGTCCGTGCCGCTTCCTTCCCGTCCCGTCCGTGCCGCTTCCTCCCCGTTCCGTCCGTGCCGCTTCCCCCCGTTCCGTCCTTGCCGCTTCCTCCCGTCCCGTCCGTGCCGCTTCCTCCCCGTCCCGTCCGTGCCGCTTCCTTCCCGTTCCGTCCTTGCCGCTTCCTCCCGTCCCGTCCGTGCCGCTTCCTCCCCGTCCCGTCCGTGCCGCTTCCTCCCCGTCCCGTCCGTGCCGCTTCCTCCCCGTTCCGTCCGTGCCGCTTCCCCCCGTCCCGTCCTTGCCGCTTCCTCCCCGTCCCGTCCGTGCCGCTTCCTCCCCGTTCCGTCCTTGCCGTTTCCTCCCCGTCCCGTCCGTGCTGCTTCCTCCCCGTCCCGTCCTTACCGCTTCCTCCCCGTCCCGTCTTTGCCGCTTCCTCACCGTCCCAGACGGTGCCGGTCGCGGCGTGTGGGCGCTAGCCGGACGAGGCCTCTGCCGCCGCCCGTGGCCTTCCTGTCAGCGGGGGCCATCGTCAGAGCATGCCGACGAGCGCGGCCCGGTACCGCGCCAGCCCCCGGTGCCGCTCTGTATCTAGGCACGTGTTCCCCGGCCGCTGGGCCCTGCTCGCCGTCCGCGTAACCGGTCCGCCGCGCCGTATTTGGCGGAGGCCGGTGGCGCCGCCGGCGGTCGGACGGCGCGCGGCGCGCTCGCGAGGGGCGCCGATCGTGCTCCTGCGCTCGGCGTCCTGGCCGGACGCGCCGTGCCCGACCGGGTCTGAGCTGCCGCCGGCTCCGGTGCTGGGCTCCCCGCCGAGTGGAGCGCGCTGCCAAGTTCGTGAGTGCCGCAGCGCGTGCTAGTGACAGCGGTCTGGCAGGGTCGGTGTCGGTGTTGTGCCGCTCGGCGTCGGCGCTGTCCTGTCACAGGACGCGGTCCGTGTCCTGCGTGTCTCCCGGGTGTTCGCCGGCGCCGCAGAGCTCCGCGTGTGCCCTCTTCAACGCCCGTGCCCGCTCCCGCTGACGGTGCCGCTTGGCCGCAGGCGGCGATGGCGGGCGTCGACATCGAGGTGGCGCCAATGCGGAGCCTGGATGACTTCTTGGCCAACTCGGCGCGTTTCCAGATCCCCAACTACCGCGACCCGGACAGGTGGGCGTACCGGGTCATGCAGAACCTGCTCTACTACCAGACCAACTACTTCTTCTCAGCGGTGCTCATCTTTCTGCTAGTCGGGTGAGAGAGCTGTGCCAGCAATGGTAGCCTTAGATTGCACGGCTAGGAAGTGGTGTGTTCGCAAGCTTGTATGTATTTGCTTAGGAATATTGTTATTGAACATGTACAATTACGATGTAAGTGGTCTGTACTCTCCTATAACGTATGGTGTGCTGTATATAAGAGGGGAACCAACCAGGTTGTTGCCCAGTTTTCCACGATACGGGGTTTTAGTGAAATCGGTTAGGACATGGGGGAGAAATGTATAGACCAACTGCCTCTTCAGGCATTCTCCACATGCTGCATGTGCTGCAAGCTGTTATACGATCGATATGTGTGAAACACGAGCTAATGGATTGCTTAATGCCTTTTTGTGTTGTGGAGACTGTGCTGCGCGATGAAGTAGCCGTATTTTTGGACGGTTATTTCAAAACTTGTGGTAGTTTTTCCCGCCTGAGGAGGTATAGTAAATGTCAGTGCCACGAGGGCAGCTTCAGCTATCACGAACAGGGATCACGCAAACAACGGCCGACTTAAACATGCGTGTGGCGTTGCTGGATTAGCACGCCCAAAAGTCGTCTGATTTCGGCGGCGGCATTGCCTGAGTTGACGCCAGGTGGTCCGCGACGCTACCATGTAGTCTTGTCGTGACTGGGTTGGCCTGAATTGGCCGCCGTCCACTTTTTATTGCCCAGGACTCGTTGACATGGGGCGATAACGAAGCGGGCGGTCTTCTTTCCTGTGCGCTTAATGGCGGAGGAAATTTCCCGTTGCTGTGGAGTTCGTCTTTGTGCATGCGGGTGCGAGCGTACCCGCGGAGACGTCGGTGCGAGTCATTCTTCCTCCATTGCGCTGCGATTGAACTGCCACATGTGACACGGACATTCTAAAAATAACTGCGTTTAGCATGGCGTTATTCATGCGGCCACTTCACGGAAGTAAGGGGCATCTGGTGATATGACATGTGACGTATGACTGGATTGCGTTTCGCGATTGCATCAAATTTGGCCGTCGTTCAGCTGGTTAGGCTGAAGCTCTCGTAACGTTAGGGCTGTGCAAAAGGGCATGCGTGCTTGTTTTTAATTGAGCTCACGCACCAGAGGTCTCGCAAACGAGATTCCACGAGCGCGTGTTCTGGCGTAGTAGGTCAGCCGATCGCAACATTGGTAGTGGCACGGATATCTCCGGTTCGGAGAACTCAGGGCTGTGAGCTGCCTGCGGTTAGTCGCCGCAGGCCGCTGCTGTACTGTAGCGATGTACGCCAGAGCACGTCCCGTGTTGTTATTCCCATTCCAAGTGTGCTGGCACCGTGACAGGGATGCTGCGAGGGCAGGTGAAGTGGGGCGTTGTGACCATCCAGCGTTTTCATAACGAAATTATTTCATAGCATGAAGTACTTGTCAGGGCAGAACGAAATCCCATCAGCTTTTCAATGGATTCACTAATCGAACAAAGTTTCTTCTTGGAAAAGAAGTAAGGCACAAGGCTGGCGATAAATCTTTGATTAGCATGGATCCACCGGTGCTAAATCGCTTTTACGGAGATAACAGAGGGGCGGCGAGATATGTGTCGGGTTATTGCTCCGTTTTTGTTTGTTGCGCCACCGATAAGGTAGGTCAGCCGCTTATGGCTCCTTTGTAAAGGGATAATGAGCCGTCTCGTGCTGCGGTGTCAGCAGGCTGTGCGGGCAGTGACGCTCGCCGTTTATGTTGGCCGCTGTGGCGGTCCCGCGGTGTCACGCCCCGCCTCCCGCAGGATGCTGCACCCGCACAAGTTCCTGTGCGGCATGCTCGCCCTGGCCGTCGTGTTCGCCATCTTCTACTACATTACAAACAAGCAGGCGGTGGCGTCCCACTTCAAGCGGGATCACCCGCTGCTCAGCCTGACGCTGATCTTCTCCGGAGGCTACTTCATCGTCTACATGCTCGGATCGGTTCTGGTCTTCTTGTTCGGCATCTGTTTGCCGTTGCTGGGTGAGTAAGACCGCCTTCCACCCACGCCCCCAGCGGTGGCTGGGCCGGCTGGGCTGGCTGGGCCACGCCCGGCCGGCCCCAGTGGGCTGGCTGGCTGGCGTGGCATTGTCAGTCTTTGACAGTTGCTCTTTCTGGAGCTCCGACTGCGAGATGGCATTTGCAGATAGCGCTCAGTGAATTATGCGATTGAAACGTCGGCAGCTGATCAAGGGCCCTTTTACGAGCATCTCAAGCTCGGGTGCGGTGCGCTCTCTCATATGATGCTCACGTTCCTTTGTTCGGTGGTGCAGGACGACATCCCGTGTGATGGAATGCGGTTCTGCTTTCCCAGCCATCGATAGCGCTGCGGCGAGGTGCATGACGGCGCTGGCCGTCTTCGCATTAGTGTCAGCCCAGTGGATAAGATGTCATTGTTTATGGAGGCCACATCCGCGTCCAGACCGACGCTCCTATTAAGGGTGTGCCTTGAAAGAGATCCTCTGCAGCGGCTACGTCTCGAGACAGTGTGGCGTTGGCAGGGGGCAGTGTGAGCTTGAGGGCCTTCGGCCCAGAGCTGTGGTCTTTCTGACTGATTGGGTGCGCACGCCGCGCACTGCATGTGCAATGCTGAAGTGGTTCGCGATGCTGTGATTCGCTGCCGAAGCTGCCTGTTTCATGGCCATTCCTACCGCGTGAAGCCTGCTTCGTTCCTTCCGGGGGCAAGTTTTGAAATGGTACATTGAACGTTAATAGTGTTCAATGATTGGTAAAGCATAACATCATCAAACGTCAAAGACGGTTGCGTTTTCCAAAAATCTCCGAAAAACTAACACGATTCCGATTTACACTATAATGGGTCTCATCATCAGGTCAGAACCACTCAGGCGCGCCAGGTCATCGGCTCATGGTCGGGCTAGAAATTGATAATGGCTTAAAATAAAGGCGTATTCTCTTGTTTTAGCGAAATTATAAAACACGTCAGCACCAATACATAACTGGTCATATGGGAAGCTCAACTTTTCAAGAGAAAACCCAGGATCACCCAGGATCAAAAGCTTGGATCACATTCTCAGTCATTCCTCTGTCTTTAAGTAGCCGTCCATGTGCACAATATTGTCATATCGATTACGCTCTACTTGGTATCATCAGCTTGTGTCTGTTCCTTGCTCAACTTCTCGAGAGACAAATTTTGCTAAGCGCAGTGTGTTCTCAGCCCATATTTACACTGTCCTATTTACAAATGCCTGCTTCATAGTTAAGCCATGAAAAACTGGTAACTTTTGCGAGAGATGTCACCAGGGCGAAGAGACGGGTCAGAGAGACGTCTAACTCAAACGCTGCACTATGCGGGTGGTCGCGACATGATCACAGTAGCCGTGGTGCCCTAAAGCCCAACTTATCATCGCCACGTCCCGGCCAGGTGCCTCACCGCGTATCTGGCATCCGTCTTTTTAAGCATACAGTCATGGACTGCAGCGTGGAAGCCTCTCGCGGCTCTCCGCAGTTCTGTATTAATGTCATGTCTACTGATTCCAGCGGTGCTCGTTCACGCGTCCATGCGGTTGCGGAACATGCGCAACAAGCTGATGAACAAGATGGAGGCTGCTGGACTCAAGAGGACGCCGATGGGTCTTTTTCTTGACGAGCTTGGGGTGGACAGTGACAAAATCGTCTTCTGAGCAGGCTCGCAGCTGGCTTGTGGTCTGGGTGCTGTCTGCTATCGATGCTTGCTTAGTCACTTGCCAGAGCGTATGGGTAGAAATAGAACGGTATGTCAATTGTGTGCTGTGATTGCACCCATATTTCCCTGTTTACCGCAGCTTTCAAGATTAGCGTGTAGAATTCAAAATCTCTTCTCTCTGAGCACCTTGCTTATCTACGACCAGCCCAGAACTTATAGTTGAGCTGCTTCCGCGCTCGTGAGAGCTGAGTCTTGGTGTATTAGTATGTTATATGAGGCCAGTGCATGCAGTTTTCGGTGCGATTAGCTCGAAGCTTTGACAGTTAAGCCGTTGGTCAAGGTGCAAATTATGATATCATTCCAGCTGATGGTTACGTTATTTTTCGTGTGCTGTGATATTTCTTTGCGTGAAGCCATTGGAAATATGGTGTGTTTGTCTTTGGAAATGTTTGGCGGTCCATCCGCAGTTTTATTTAATGTATCCCTCTTTGTGTTTGTAACCGTCAGCCGCATAATGAAATATCAGGGAACGTGCATGATATTTGTGTCGGTACTCGGTGACTTATTTCCAAAGTGGTAACGGTTTGCTCATTACCGTCCTTCGTTTTCCGGGTGGATTGAATCCTGGCGCCAATTCTTGGTCCCGCATATGCCATTGGGCGTGGGATGGGGTGGGGGGGGGGGGGGGGTGAGGAGGAACTCCACTTAAACCGCGGCGGATGCTGAGGGCCTCACGCGCACACCCATTTCGTACTGAGGGCCTCTCACACAGCCCAGTCTGGTGCTGAGGGCCTTCTGCACAGCCTCCGTCTGGTGCTGAAGGCCTCCCACACAGCTCCCGGTTGGTGCTGAGGTTCTCCCGCATAGCCCTGTGGCGCTAAGGGTCTCCCACACAGCCTTGCCCGGTATTAAGGTCCTCGCACAGCCCTTTCCGATGCTGAGGGCCTCCCGCACAGCCCGTCCGGTGCTGAGGGCTGCCCACACAGCTTCGCCTAGTACTGAGGGCTGTCCACACAGCCTCTCCCGGTACTGAGGGTCCTCCGCACAGTCCCATCCGGTGACGGCCGCCATTGCCAGTCTCTAGTCACGCAGCTGACCTGGGCGGCCTCCGCTGGCTCCCAGCCGACGCCAGCTGTGCCAACAATATACGGCGTACGCGACACCCGTCTTTCGTCTCTGTGGGGCTCAGTGTGACAATGCCAGGGAGCTACCGTGACGGGGAGCGGATTACTCAAGTGATCTAAGGAAACACCACGCCGCGTCTCGCTTGCTGTCAGGTGGAAAAATACGGGCGTTGAAGACCGTTTCCCGTCGGAAATATTTGCCGAATGTGCATTACTTCAGCTCCGTAATCAACTGTTGCTTTTGATTTCAAGGGAGATGTCTAGGATGCAGGGGTGCCACTTGATATAGTTCAGGATCCCCAATGCCGGCTAGGGCCACCTCAATGCTCTCCTGAGCCCCCCCCCCCCCCCCCAATGCATATGAGTAAAAAATAAAAACTGGGCCAGTGAAATGCAGCGAGTGTCTGAGCCGCTGGTGCACCAGGCACCTCAACACAACTATTAATCTCGTCATCATGTATCATCAATATCATTATCATGTCGGCTCCAAATGGAAAGTCATTTCTCAACATCAACACAATCTCGGAGCTGATCAAATAATTGCTGTTTTAGTGTTGACATTAAACATGCAAATGCAAGTGACCGAGATTCGGGAAGAAAACTGTATCCGGGAGATAATCTAGGTCAACGCTTTTGGTTGAGTCCTCGACCAATCTAAGAAAATGATTCCCTGCTAGGGTGTCCAGATTCGAAAGAGAAATATAGATGTGGGACATTCATATAAATTCATACTACTGAAAAATGCATTTCGTGCATTGCAGCGGCGGAACATCGTTATCAATTGGGGGGGGGGGGGCTTGGGACCCTTTGCCCAGGCCAGCAGATCAGCCTCCCCAATATACAGATGAAATCTATCAGTCTTAGTCTTATCAGTCTTATCTTATCTTTATAAGTAATCTTAGTCTTATCAGTCAGTCAGTCAGTCTCAGTCTTATCAGTCTACTTACCCACCATACTTGATGACTGAGGAGGCTATGCAAGCAGAAATGAGTAAGCATGAAATACTTTTTGGATCCTGTTCAAATGGCAATGTCACGTGGACCGAATCCGAGGGCGCACAGGTGCACCGGAAGTTCTCACAAGTTTTGGCGCACCAGGTCTCAGCCAACGGCCTTAGGCTCCCATACGTGACAGATGATGCGTGTTACGGAAGTCGCGGGCGAAGTCTTTTTCCCCCCGCTCATCAGTTCCTGCACATCTGATGACGCAGTATTTGGTCTGTTCTGAGGTTGGTCGACCCATAACAAAGCCGGGTGGGGTCTTGACTGGTTTTGAAAAGCTTCAGCCGTAGCCTGCAGAGTGGGGTTGCTCCAGTGCAAGGCCCTAGAACAGGGCTCCAGTGCTACAGTGCGCTTGACGGCAAGCTGTATGGACTCTTGTATCTCAATGATACCTTTGCGGCACCCTGCATGTCGTCGTGGGAGGAGAAAGTGACATTAAGGCGCAGGTAATATGGCGGCGGCACCTACTTTTCCAAAATAGGTACAACGTTTGCATTTTAGTGATAGCATCGTAGCGAATTTTCCACACCATCTTTCCGCATCATTCCCTGCCACATATGCCGTGGTTTCCACGAATTCAACAGTAAAACATGAATCGCGCGGTGTCTGAAGGAACCCGAGTCTATGGCAGGGGCGGATCCAGGATTTCGTCGAGGGAGGGGGGCACACAACATTGTGGGGACCCCCTCCAAAAGACATCCCACCACTTCCATCATTACATTTTAAGATAGGTCGTATGTAACATACATGCATATATATATATATATATATATATATATATATATATATATATATATATATATGCTTATTTATTTAATAAATACGGAAGCCCATCTGACTGGACAGCCCTACAAAGCTAGGCGTGCTACGCATACATAAACAGAACTCACTCATTTTCTACAGATCACGTTAAGTGCTTTTATTTGAAGGCAAATCGTTTCGCAGCAACAGGCAGAATAAACTTAAGTTAGCTGCTAACCACCGTCAAAACCAAGCATGACCTTGATTTCTACTTTATGTATTTACGGCTAGCCGGCTCGGCGATGTAATCGGCCGATGGCTGATGACAAATGCATAGTTTTCCCCTTGTTATAAAGGAGTACAACGTATCCTAGTATTCAAAATATGTTAAGAACGTGATGCGCTAATATAATGAGTGCCATACACTCAATAGTCAATGGAAATGACACATACGAGGTCGGTGGCATGTAAAATTGCATTCGGCAATGGCGCGTAAGAACTCATCGCCGCACATCCGACTACTGCTTGAAGGCGAAGGCACCAAGACCAATAGGGACGGGACCTGAGCGATCATGGGGGCTGCAGGAGGCCAACAAAGTGGCTCCCGTCAACAAGAATAGGGTCCTCAGAGCCAGCAAAAAGAGCCCAAGACCAACGTGGTGAGCCTCTACACGACCGGTAGTGCCCCGGCAGGCTGGCATGTAAAACCCCTAACAGAGCACATTACCCTCCTCACCCTCCTACTCTCCTACCCCATCCTCCTCCTACTCCTGTGCGATTGAGAGTACACGGGCAGGTTAACAACACGAGCCCCGATAGGTGTGAAGAGTCCTCCGCGAATGAGACCAAAGGGAGAGAGTCCCCAAGAGCCCCCGAGTAGAGAGTAGAGAGCCCCCGAACATCGAGTGCCTCCGTGTCTTACCTTATAAGAGCCCCAGCAACAGTATAAGGCCCTCCGAGCAGGTGAAAAGAAACCGGTACTAATATGATAAGCCCCTTAACAACTGAGTGTACCCTAGAATATGGGGCCCCGGAAAAACCGTATAGAGCCTTTCGGACGAATGGGAAGAATCCGTGGAGGAAAATATAATCGATCAACAGTGCTCAGGCATTGAGGCAGACAGCGTCCCAACAACTTATTGGGCCCTACGAGAAAATGCAAAGAGGTAAAGGAAAACGTGGAAAGCTCCTTAGCGATCAGATTGACCCGGCAAGTGGACATATGGGGGCAGGCAACCAACAGCGTAATGCTTCTATACAGCGTAATGAGCCCCGAAATTTCCCCCAAGCAACTTTTTCTCAATCAGCGAAGAATGAACTTCGTCCACTGATAAATTCTTTAGTTTTGCTAACAATTGTCATCGGTCGTCTTTGGGCCCAATTACATCCAATTTTGTTGTTTTTTGTGTAAGAAACTGCGGCCATCCGTCCGGTTATGGCCTCTTCGGAGCCTTTAACTCCCTTCGGCATGATCTATGGGGCTCCCCTCCACCCTCTGCATCTGCCACCGGTCCGAGCAGCTTAACAGATGGGGCCCACCATGAACATAAGGCCGCCCATTGAAATGATAAATACTCGCGACACAATGTGTAGGGGTCTGAACGATCGAGTGTGCTCGGGCAGATTAGCATATAGGCCCCCCGTCAAGAGCGTAGGACCCTCCATTCAAATAGGAAGTACCCAAGACCCGATGAAGAGAGCTCCGAATGATCGCGTGTACCCCGTCAGGTTAACAGATAAGGTTCCCAAAAAGGGCGTAGGGCCCTCCATTCAAACAGGAAGTATTAAGACCCAATGAAGGGGACTCATGAATGATTCAGTGCGTCAGACCAGGTTAAAGTATAGGCCCCCGTCAAGAGCGTAGGGCCCTCCATTCAAAAAAGGAAGTACCTAAGACCCAACGTAGAGGGACCCCGAATGATCGAGCGCACCAGAGCAGGTTAACAAATAGAGCTCCCAACAAGCGCGAAGGGCTCTCCATTCGAATGGGAAGCGCTGAAGACCCTATGTAAATGGCCCCAGAATGATGGAATGTGCCTAAACAGCTTATCAGAAGGCGCCTGACACGAGCGTAGGGCCCTCCATTCAAATAAGGAGTACCCGAAACCCGGTGCGGAGGGCCCCCGAAAGATCCCCCGAGCTCGGGCATACCCGAAAGGGTGTACCCGAGCAGATTATCAGGCGGCCCAGTCAGGAATGTAAGGCCCTAAATTCAAACGCCAAGACCCAATATACAGGGCCTCCGAACAATCCAGTGTGGTCGAAGCGGCGAACAGATGGGGTCCCAGACAAGTACGAAGGGCCCTCCATCCAGATAGGAAGTACCCAAGACACAATGTTGAGGGCCTTGAATATTCGAGTGTGCCCGAGCAGGTTAGCAGATGAGGCCCTGACAAGAGCGTAGGGCCTTCTGTTCAAATATGAAATACCCATGACACGGTGTAAAAGGCCCCGAATGATCCAGCGCGTCAGAGCAAGTTAACAGACGGGGCCCCCGAAAAGAGCGGGGGCCCTCCATTCAAAAAGAAAGGACCCAAAACTAGATGTAGAGGTCCCCACGATCAAATGGGCCCGAGCATCTTATCAGAAGGCACCCCGACAGGAGCGTAAGGCTATTCAAATAAAAAGTACCCAAAACCCACAAGAGCGTAGGGCCCCCACTCAGAAAAAAGTACCCAAGATCCAGTGTGGAGGGTCCCCAAGCGACTGAGTGTGCCCAAGCAGGACATCAGATGGCCCCCGACAAGAGTGTAGGGCCCTAAGCAAGTGAAAGAGAATTGAAAGCGCACTGGACCAATGTAGAGGGCCCCTGAGCATATTGCAAGTGTGTCGGCAGGTTAACCGCGACCCACGTAAAGGGCCCCCGAGCAGCCGAGAATACCCGGCAAGTTATGGTATGGGACTCCGGCTATAGCCCACAGAGCCTTTCTGGCGAATGGAGAGAATCCGTGGAAGGGCCTGGGATTGGCAAGAGTGCCCCGGCACGCTAGCAGGAAGGGCCCCGACAACAGCGCAGGGCCCTCTGAGCAAATGCAAAGAAATGAAGGGCAACGTGGAATGCTCCCTAACGATCGAAATGATCCTGCAATTGGATATATAGGTCCCCCGGAAACAGCCTGGGGCCCCTAGACACTGTAATAAGACTTAGAATTTCCAGTTAATAAGTTTTCCAATCATTGAGCAATTTTTTTTTACTTCTCATGAGCCCTTCACTTTCCCTTACAGCTGTTCTTGACCGCCTTTAAGTCCAGAGATATCTAGTTGTGATGCGTTTTGTGTTTAGAAGAACTGCACCTGTTCGGCCGGCTATGGGACCCCCTCGGAGCGAATGGGCCCATTCAGGGCCCAAGGGGCCATGGCCCCGTGCCCTCCTCAGGATCTCCAAAACAATGTTTGAATGAGTGTATGTAAGGAAGCCGGGCATCGTGACCAGCCTGGACGTCTTCGGCTGATACCCGGTGCTACAACTGCTTTCAATTTAGCTGCATCAAGCTCCGAGAAAAAATGGCTTGAATTTTATTGAGAGTGAATACCAAGTTGAAAAGAAAACAATTTAACGGTACAAAAGAAAGACAGCTTGAGGCAATGTTTTGTCTTAGATCACGGACACGAATTCAAGCACCTTACGATATTTCCTGTTCACATCAAAGCTTACATCTTGGGTGCGTGCGTGCGTGTGTCATCTAGTGGTAGATTATTTAACTAATAGTGCGGTCTCCTGCGTAATGCCGACCGGAAAGCAGCGGCTTCCGTGTACGAGGCGTGTTCGGGCGTTGCTGGATGTGGTTGGTGACGAATGTCCGTTGTGTTAGGGAAAGCCTGTGATTGACCGCTACGGTAGCTACGGTGTTTCCAGCTGGATATAGAGGTATGTGGTCGCGGTATCGGTAGTAACGATAAATTGCTGGATGGGGTGCTTGCACCGGAAGAATTGGGGGATACTGGATGAGGAACAGGCTGAAGTGTATGCTTACATGGGACATGGATGCTGCAAAAATTGTTCCCTCAAGCACGCTGTAGCCTTATTGATTCCGCTTTAATCGAAATGAATCTCTTATGTATATGACCACATTATTTAAGCTTGGGAATGCCTGCTGAGACCTTTCATGCAGTTCATGCCTATACTATATGCTCTGATTGTCTATTTTGCCATGAAGCATGGTATGAAACTATCCATGCATTGCAAAGCTCCCTAAATTTGGTATTCATTGCACTTATAATCTGTGAAACGCCTGTCAACATTTGGTTGCTCAGTATTTATAAGTTAAAACCAGGACAATGGCTACAAATGGTGTTGTCAGGATGATGTTCCAGGAAACTTTTACTAGAAAATGTGCCTTAAGGTTGTGCTGCTAAAATGGTTGATAAAATATCACTACCTTGCTTTGCCAGGATTACTGATCATTGGGTCATTGGGATGCTTGTTCAGGATCTGGATGAAGGCTACTTGGCTTATTCATGCTGCTCATGTTAGGCTCTCATTGACAGCCCAGACTCTGGATGTTATGCATGCATGGGCCTTTTGAGCATCTGGTTGGCTTGAAATTGAATGACTGTAAACACATACTACCATGGGGAGAGGTGGAGTCTAATGATGCCAACCCAGTCTAATAATACCTACTCACTACCCACTTGTGAAATGGTTGGCCAAATGAGTAATGTTGGCTGTTTGTGCAGTCAGGTGATGGCAGGCATACAGTCTGAAGGCTCATCCACAGTCTTTGTAATGCTTGCTTCAGCTACAACTATAGCAAGCATTGAAGTGAAATAGAAGGGAAATCTTTATTTGCAAATTTGTTTTTGGATTATTTCATTAAACTACAGAGATACCCATGCATGCATGCATGCATGAGTGAGCATTCCTTATTAGGTAGAAATAAGTATTAAGGTAGACAAGCCTTCCCTAGCTGTTTAAACCAAGTGAATAGAAGTGATGAATCAAAACAATAGACCAGTGACCTCTGTTTTTATAAGGAGAGTGACATTGGGACTGGTAGTTGCTAGGACATGAAAATGTCAGCTGCTCATGTTGTGAACATGACTGGAGAATGCAGCATGACAGATGTGGCAGCAGCCAGCCACCCTTTTTCTAAAATTGTTATGGGCTGCACATTTCTATTAAATTGGTTTCTTCAAGCTGTTAAGTCACCTTGACTCCTAAGTTGTGATTCCTTTAGAAGGATAACAATGCTAGAAATCATAGTGTGGCCAAAAGATTGCCAAATTATTTATCCATAAAGTTATGAGATGATCAGTTCAGATGTAAGTGCTCAGGTCATTAGCATATCCAAATCCTTATAGAAATGCTGCTAAGGAAGTCACTTGCTGCAAAATTCAAATCCAGTTGTTCTAAATCAGAGAGTCTCCATGAAGACTAACTGAGGTGACCAAACAAATTACCTGGAATACAAAAGCCAATCAACTTGCAACCATTAGACACATATAAGTAAAAGTGCTGCTTGAATGGGCATGTGCTGTCACAATGTAAAACTTATGTTAAAGCTGTGTAAGGTACCCAATGTACAAATTGCAGCAGAGTGAATAAATGATGCAGTAAATATTATTGTATCACAAAACATCTTGTCTCCAGCTTAAACATGTGACAAAACACTTGGTGCTCTAAAGATGTTCTCCTGATTTTTTGCTCAGGCCCAAAAGAACTCAACAGAATTCACTTTTAACCCATAGTAAGGTTTATCCTGTGACATTTCATTGATATTCCACCCTTTATAAGACATTTGTGCCTAAATTGTAATCTGTTTCATAAAACAAACAACATTGGTGCTAGGATGATGATGTGTCTATACAGGGAGATAGCGCTTGTTGGACAAATAAGGGGATCTGTCCATTGGGCTTTGCTTGATTCTTCCTCAGTGGAATCAATTCTGGCTCTGATTTGCATTATGTGGGGTTTCTTCTGACTCTGATTCCAGCCAGGATGGCACTAATTCTGACTCAAGTAGGTATGGCTGGATCCCATGTCTGATTCCCACACTGTTGATTCCTGTGACAGAATTTTTGGACCTACCCTGTGGTATGGGAGTTATAGCACCCTACACAGGGCAGCTCTTTCAATAAAGAGACAGGTATGTATGACAGTACATTGATTTCTTCTGGTGCACAGATAGACTGTTAGTTGACAAAGATGTCTTGTTGCATTCTATTTGGTTCAACAACGTTAATGATGTGGAGGATGTAACTTTGGCTCTGACTCTTTAAGTTCCAAATGAATGAATTCTTGCAGGCTCTGATTGACTCCAGGCTCAATTCCAGCATGACCTGCGGCCAAGAACAGGTCTTCAGTCCATCTTCCATCCATTGGCAATGCCTGCAGGTTATTGTGATGATCTGTAGAGGTGACAGCTATCCTGGTGCCAGTCTGCAGATTGTGGGGTCTGGAACATTATGTGCAACAGGGCAGCTGCTCAGCCAGTGGCACAATGGCGTCTATTGGTGACTGAACAATCTCCGCCGATCTGTGGATGGCGACGGAAGCTGTATGAGGTTGATGATTGCTGAGGTTGCATTTGCATGAACGATGCTCGAGCCCGACTGTCCGTTCGGGTGACCTTGGGACACAGAAAAAGAGCAAGCACGCCTGGTGCGGCAATAGCACGGAGCCCGTCAGCGGGCAGCTGTTGCGCTGCCGGCGCCGGTTGACGCCGGTTCTGATAGCCGGACCGCATCGCCACCCGGCGACGGCCGTGGCCGCTGTTGACCGTCGCCGGCGTCTGTTTACCATGGCCATGGTCGTCGGGACTCGCGACTCCGGCCGTGTGCTGTGTGCGCCGCCGCGATTAGGGGACCGTGCTGCTGCACGGTGACGCTCGCGTGCGGCCGTCCAGATAGCGGCGCCGGCAGGTGCGCCGTGTCAGGCGCGACACGGAGGGCACCGCGGTCCCGGCCGGCCCGGGAGTGTGCGTCGGAATACGAGGCGGCGCGGCCGGCGCCCGCCGTATGCGGTCGCACTGCTCGGTGAGGCCGGCTCGGAAGGCCAACCACAGGGCAGACGGCGAAACGGTCTGGGCGTCAACGGAGGCCATGACATAGTGTGTCTTGCCGTGGAAATTTGCTGCTTCGGTTCTACTGGAGTCGATGTTTTGAACAGCTTGCATTTTGTCCATTTTTAACTGTTCCATTCCACGAAGCAATGTGCCAATGCCATATCGCGAACCCCGTCATAGCTGCACACCTATGGTATCACCTATGGCAGTGTCACTTGCCACTAATGCTTCTCATTGCATGAATGGTAAGAATAAGGGCCCCCGAGAGCGCCGGGAGAACTGCGCTTTTATCAGACTGTGTGCGTGTGTATGGTGTCTCATTGCAAGCCTTCCTCTTCTACAGACCATGGTGTAACAGAACGCCAAGATGTCTTTTCTTAAGAATTTGAAGAGCCTCTTCACTGGAGGCGGTGAGAACGCCTCCAAGAAGAGGCGCGTGTTGAACAATGTGAAAGTCGGCATCAACCCCGAGGAAGTGTGGGACCTGCAGGGAGAGCTGGGCGATGGCGCCTTCGGCAAGGTTTACAAGGTCAGTCTTAGCTAGCGCAGCCCGCTTTGGTACCAGCGTCATTCTCGTCTGAGCAAAATGATACGTGCTCTTTTGTGTGATCTCATGATTTTGAGATCTTGCAGTCTTGATTTTTATCATGCCATAAAAAGCTTGTGCCCCAAACGTGGCGGACTTCCTGCGACGCTGGACAGGTATTACAGCCACTGCTCATCTGACTGGCTGACTAGTGGCTGCCTGAGTGGCTGGCTGGCACACGTGACAGGAGGTAACTGCTCTGAGCCGGCGCTCCTCCCTCAACAGGCGGTGCACAAGGACACGGCGCTGGTGGCCGCGGCCAAGGTGTGCGAGATGAACGAGGACGACGAACTGGAGGGCTTCATGGTCGAGATCGACATCCTCACCGAGATGCAGCACAAGCATGTGGTCAAGCTGCTGGACGCCTACTTGCAGAGGAAGCAGCTCTGGGTATGCAGCACCGATATGCCGCTGGTGGAGACGTGTAACAGATGTAGCTTGGCCCTGACAGTAGCTAGTCTGTGGCTCGCGACCTGTGAATCGCGTGAATTTTTTTGCATTATTTATACCCATTCGTAGCACAGTCATTGCGGACTGAGCATCAAGGAGCTACCACTGCTGCGATAGTCGTCTAATTTTGCTTGTCTTTGTTTAAACGTGTCGTGTGTTCCGTCCTCCAGCATGTATCATCTTATCATACGGTAGATGCTGCCAGCCGGAGGTGGAGGCGTCGCGGCACCAGGTCATCGTTACACGCGACTCAAACCGAGATGACGTTGTAATGGACTCATCTGCTCTTCTTTGTCCTTCGGCTCTTATGCGGCTCGGGGCTATTGTGTGTCAGAGAGCTCACCGGTGTCGACGCCCGCGGCAGATGCTGCTGGAGTTCTGCGACGGCGGCGCGGTGGACTCGATCATGGTGGAGCTGGACCGAGGCCTGAAGGAGCCGCAGATCGCCTACATCACCCGCGGCATGGTCGAGGGCCTCGAGTACCTGCACAACAACAAAGTCGTCCACCGCGACATCAAGGCTGGCAACGTGCTGCTCACCATGGACGGTGGCGTCAAGCTGAGTCAGTGCCCCGCTCGCCCGCGCCGCTCGCGCTGGCCTGGGCTCCGCACGGCCGGGGACCCTCCCCCCCCCCCCCCCCCCCCAGCGCCGCTCGCTCGCGCTGGCCCGGCTCCGCACGGCCGGGGACCCTCCCCCCCCCCCAGCGCCGCTCGCTCGCGCTGGCCCAGGCTCCGCACGGCCGGAGACCCCCCCCCCCCCCCCAAGTTTATCGCCGACGCATGTTTGCGAACTGCGGGTGTCTTTTCTGGGCGGAGGCGCCGTGCACGCGGTTTTTTTCATCAGCTGTGTGAGAGTAGTGGCTGCGTCGACCTTGACCGACTGAACAAATCTGCTGCGTTTTGATCGTATTACCGCTATGTACAGGAAGGAACGATTGTGCCTTCCCCGTGACCTCGACGCGTGTCGCGTCCGGGAGCGTCGCGTCGCCGGCGCCGCCCGCCGCGTCGCCGGACGCTGACGCCGTCCGTCTCCCGCAGCCGACTTCGGCGTGTCGGCCAAGAACAAGCACACGCTGCAGAAGCATACGACGTTCATCGGCACGCCGTTTTGGATGGCGCCCGAGGTGATCATCTGCGAGACCTCGCTCAGCGACCCGTACGACAAGATGGCCGACATCTGGTCACTGGGCATCACCATGATCGAGTTCGCGCAGAAGGTACGGAGAGTGGTGCCCACAGCCGCCGCGTCAGGCAGCTGGTGGTGAGGCGCCAGCTGCCTGGGTTAGCGGCGGAACATTTGCCGAGAGGTGTCTTAGTGCAGTAAAGAGTGTTTGGCATGCTCCGTTTGACGCGATGGTGACGTAGCGGCTGTGTTATGGCATGGTGATGATGAGGGCGGAAGGGGTGCTGGGGAGATAAGTTCTATGGCCACTCTTCCTTGGGGGTCCTCATGTACCTTTGCTGTCTGTAAGCTCAGTATTGGATATGATGGCAGGTCTTGATGCGTACGGTATCCTTGAGGGTCGCTGGGTATTGTCGGGGCTGCACCCACTTCTGCGTCCCATACGCTGAACATTGAATACGGAAGCGCAGACGGTCGATTGATGCCGCGCGTTGCTCCTGATCGTGACGAGATCAGAGCCTGGTTCATAAGTGACACGCACTTCGAGCACGTCCCTATCCCCGTGCCGACACGACCACTCTCGGGCAGCCCTGCACCAGCGGGTGACCGGCGCCGCCGTGTTTTCGTGTGCGGGACTGGATGTGACGCTACCGCGCGTCCGCAGGAGCCGCCCTACAACGAGCTGAACCCGGTGCGCGCCATGCTGCGGATACAGAAGTACGACCCGCCCACACTGGACCGGCCCAGCCAATGGAGCAAGGAGTTCAACGCCTTTATCCGCGCCTGCCTTAAGAAGGACGCCAGCAAGCGGCCCGAGGCCGTCGACCTGCTGCAGGTGGGGCGTGGTCGGCGGCCGGGTGCCGCGCCGCCGCGATGGGGACCGCAGGAGCCCTGCTGCTGCCGGGCCGGGGCGGTGTCGCGCGCTGTTGCCGCCGGACGAGCCGCTGCCTCGCACTATCGCGGCTGGGCGGGCCGATGGATGGGACGCTCGCAGCCGCCGCTGAGTGGGTCGATAGACAGCGGACCAATGTTACCGATCGCCCCCGCAGCCGGAGTGCGATGTCTCCCGTCTCAGGTGGCCGTGCGGCGGCGTCTCAGGTGGCTGTGCGGTGGCGCCTGTCCCGCCGCCGGATGCCGGGGGAATGGGGGGGGGGGGGGGGGGGGGGGCGGTCGGCACAGCTGGCGAGGCCAACCGCCCGTCAGGCTTTCGGCCGCGAGCCAACCTTCGATTAGCACAATGCTGCCGGTCCGTTCTATTGGCTTAAGAATCACAGAAGGCCTGGCGGGCGGCACACAATCCAAGCTAAAGAGATCGCGCACAGGCGGGGAAGCCGTATGAGAATCGCGGGCTTTGCAAATCGTCGCGTACATCCCTGGTTGTAGATACGTGTCAAGGTGGTTCGGTATCTGCACTCCACTCAAGTGGTTGTTTGAGTGGTCCAGAGCGAGGGTTCTTGTTAGCCGTATTCATCAGCACGACATGGTTTTTCTGCCACGGTCGTGGGTCTAAACTAACAATCAATCTGTCGCACTCGCAGATATTGCCATCTCGTATACATCTGTCAAGAGATGTTTGTGGTCTCAGTTGTCGGCTGTCAAATGCCGCCCGGAAGCATGCACTGAACAAAGTGCTAGCTGCCGCTTCTTAGGATAACACAAAGTGGTCCGTCGTGTCATGCTCGCGACTGTAAGAGGATTTCAAGTGTCGCTTCATGTGGTAACGTTCCCGAGGATGAGTGTCGCCACTGTTGACGATGCGTCTGGCGGTGTTCGCCTTTTGAGAAGATGCTCACCGAAGTGGTTTCGGCGTCGGCGTTCCTTCGCGAGCCGTGCTCGCCGCAGCTGACGGCGACATGGCCCCGCGTGTCGCCAACAGATGGCGTTCATCAACCGCACCCTGGACAACAAGCCGATCCGGGAGCTTCTGCTCGAGTACAAGGCCGACGTGGTGGAGGGCATCGAGGACGCCGCGGACGAGGTCAGTCCCGACGTCAGCTCGACCTCCCGCGCCGGGACCCGAGCCCGCCACCGCGCACAGGAGACCCCCCTCCCCCCCCCCCCCCCCCAGCGAGGTCAGTCCCGACGTCAGCTCGGCCTCCCGCGCCGGGACCCGAGCCCGCCACCGCGCACAGGGCAGCCCCCTCCCCGGCGAGGTCAGTCCCGACGTCAGCTCGGCCTCCCGCGCCGGGACCCGAGCCCGCCGCCGGCCCCGCGCACAGGACAGCCCCCCCCCCCTCCGTGCAAACTTGGATCGTCGGTGAAAAGTGCGTGGTGAAAGTGGTGGTGAAAGTGGTGAAAAGTGCGTCATGAAACGGAGCGCTTGCAGTTTGATACGGACCATGCGGTAACGGCGGCTGGTTTCATGTGGTTCGTTGCTGGCCTTTTCAATGATGAAGCCACTCAAGCCTTTGGAGCCACTTGTGATTTGCCCACTTGAGCCCACTTGCAGCTGTGGCTTTTGAGCTTTCAAAGTAAGCGGCACTGATATGCTGAGCTTGCAGTAAATATTGTGTTACGGAACCCAGACCTGCTGTCGATCGACTTCATGGATGCAGTATGATTCTCAGGAGTCAGAGGGGAGATTACATTTTTTTAAAGAAGCTCTGCCGAACCCATGTTCGTTTCATGTCTCGGTCGTCTTCGTCGTATCTTCGGTTGTTGCGAAGTGAACATGAAGGCCATCGAGATCACGTTTTTTACTCCTTGTAATGTATGGGCCTAGAACGGCAGCAGGGTAACGTTCTTTAAACTGATGCACAGCCGGTACGGTGACCGGAAAGAAAGCAAAATTGTAATTCGAATCAAAGACAAAGCTGTGACTGCGGTAAGTTGTGGATGTTCTACACGCCCTGGGCTTCAGTCAATGTCATATTCCCAGACCAGATAGATAAACAACATTTAGCCATCTAAATCCCAATTCGGTGAAGCTTGTGTTGACCGCAGGCTCAGAGCATGACTGTTTATACATTTTAGAAAGGAAAAACATTACTCGAGAGTGATAATACACTGTTTATCCATTTCACGGTGTTGTGAGTGATGAGTGTCCCTTGTGGTCAGTCTTCTGCGTTCTGTTTCCCCCGAGCTCGTTCGTGCGGTCAGTCTTCTGCGTTCTGTTTCCCCCCCGAGCCCGTTCGTGCGGTCAGTCTTCTGCGTTCTGTTTCCCCCCGAGCCTGTTCGTGCGGTCAGTCTTCTGCGTTCTGTTTCCCCCGAGCTCGTTCGTGCGGTCAGTCTTCCGCGTTCTGTTTCGCCCCGAGCTCGTTCGTGCGGTCAGTCTTCTGCGTTCTGTTTCCTCGCGAGCTGATTCGTGCGGCCAGTCTTCTGCGTTCTGTTTCCTCGCGAGCTGATTCGTGCGGCCAGTCTTCTGCGCTCGTTCATACGCGAGCTGTTCGGCTGTGTGTCCAGCGTCCATGTCCGTGCCGCACGCTTCACCCGTCGCCTCCCAACCGGGGCCGACCCGTGCCTCCGTACCGCCGTGCCGCCGTGTGAGCGCGCCGCGCCCCTGTGTTTCACGCTGCCCAGGCCAGGAGGCGGCGAGCGCCGCCCGGAGCTCGCGCCCGGAAGGTAGGCGGCGCCGCAGGTGGGTGGAGCGCGGCGCCCGCCGCACGCTGGGCGCCGCCGCCGCGCCGCCCCGCCCCCTGGTGTCGCTCGCCCGGCAGCGGTCGAGGGTGGCCCGCCGCGTTCCCCGATAGGACCCTGGCGTGCAGATGTTGAGTGGCTGGGTTCTCACGGCTGGGGGTGTCATGAGATGGCTGAGTGGTCACGGGGACAGTGAGAGGGCATATATCAGCTGGAACTAAGCGCCGCTGGCACACAGGCTGCACGTTGCACCGTGTAATATCACGGTCATGCACTGCACGCGCATGGTGGGTCCAGGTGCCGGAGGCGGGGGCCGAGCTAGGATATCGAGCCCTGGCTTCCTCCAGGTGTAGTGCCGCCGGTGACGTAAGCATTGGCACGTGCGGGAAAGTGGTGAGACAACATGCGGTTTAAATAATTCAGTACTCACGCCTCAGGTGCCGTGTATGGTAAGTCACTGTTTTCTCCATCGGACGTGGAAGGGCCGCTCGCCCTGCTCGTGTCTCTGTGGCCGCCCGCCTGTTCTCTGTCGCGAGCCCGGCACCGAGCCGAGCCGGATGGGAACGATGCTGACCTCTGACCTCGGCCGACAGGACACTCGCGCCTCCCGGCTGAGCCTGGACTCGGGCCTGCCGCCCACCGACGAGGCCGACGAGGAGGCCGAACCCAAAACCACCGCCGAGCCGCCCGCCTCACCCAAGAAAAAGGTGCGTGCAGGCGGCTCGGGCGACGTTTGCAGCTTGAAGCACGATTTGTGTGTCTGTTAGATCAGTTTCGAATTCGTGGGGCACAGCGATCTGTCCGTTAGACTCAACCGAGTGAGTTATTTTCCCCTTCGGCTTTCCAATAAATCCATTCTCCTTTTGTACTTCTTCACAGGGCACAGCTTCAGAATGTGTGATCGCCTGGGTTGTGTTGTTCAGCGTGTAGCTGTTTATTCTCTGTTGTGTGCTATCATCGCTCGCAGCCCGTGATCACCCTGCATGATTTGTCGGCAGCCTGCGCCGAAACCGCCAGCGCCTGCTGAGCCGACCAAGTCCTCCGAGAAGAAGAAGCTACCAGCGCCGCCACCGCCGGTCGCCAGTGCAGTGGCGCCCTCAGTCCCGGCCGAGCCGGCCACCGCGCCCGCTCCGTCCGCCAAGGTCCAACCGGACCCGGCCCAAACTAAGCCTGCGCCTGTGCCGGCGACCTCACAACCTGTAGTCGATCAGCCTGCAGCCGGTCAGCCTGCAGCCGGTCAGCCTGCTGCCGGTCAGCCCGCAGACGCCCAGCCTGCTGCCGCTCAGTCTGCGGTAACTGAGCCCAGTGCGACTCCGACAGAGGCGCTGCCGTCGGTGGATCCGACACCGGCAGCGATCGAGGAACAGAAGCCGACGCCGGCGCGGCCGGCCGACCAGAGACCGGCACCAGAGTCGGCAGCCGAGCAGGCTACTGCGCCGCCGGCCGCGGCGGCACCAGCTGCGGCGGCGAACAGCGGTCCGCCGCCGGCCCCGGCGCCGGCGCCGGCCTCCGACGCCGAACCGACAGCGGCGACGGCCGCGGTGGGACTGGCGGCAGACGAGCCGCGGCCAGTGGCAGACGGCGGCGATGCGGAGCCCGCCCGGACGGAGCAGCCGGTCGCCATGGACGCGGACGACCGGCCCGCCGGCCCGGCGATACCTCCGCCGCCCCCGCCGCCACCGCTACCGCCGGCCGGTGACGCGGCGCCGGAGCCGATGGAGACGGACGAGCCGCCGGCGCCACCTAAGTCTCCAGACGAGTCGCCGACGGTGGCGCTGGGCCCGGCTGGCGACTGGGAGGCGGCGACGGGCGCGCCGCAGCTGACGCACGACCAGAGCGCGGCGCGCGTCATCGTGTCGGCCGGCGACGACCAGGCGGGTGGCACAGTGACGACGCTCATCCAGAGCGTCGACGGCGAGGCGCGCATCCAGGTGGTGGACGCCGGCCGAACCGGTGAGTGTGGGATGACGGCGTCGGGCCGGCAGGCGAGGTGCCGGGTACCGGACGCACCGGGAAGACGCGTGCATGTGCTCCGTTCCCTTTGCCAATGGATGGCGTTCAGCTGGTTAACAGTGGAGTGTGGAGATGGGCGTTCGATCCTGTCCTTGGTGCCGTTGTCTTTGTCATGGGCTGTCAACATTGGAGCTGCTTTGTCGCTATGTGTGTGGGTATGTGTGGGAAGGAGAGGAGTAATCCGCCCCCCTGCTGTCCTGTGGTCTGTTTCACTGACCTTCCGGCGGTGTCTGCAGACTGGAGCGACGGCAGCCGCTCGCCGGAGGGCGGCGCCACCCCGCCCGGCACGGAGGCCGAAAGCGAAGCTGAACTGAGCGCGCACCAGATCATGGACTCCCTGATTGGCGAGGTACTGCGGCTCCAGGAGGAGGACCGGCGCGCTGAGGGCGACGACGACTCGGACGACGGCTCGGCCGCCGGCGCCGTCGACCAGTCGCTGGACGAGGCGCTGCTCTCGCTCGCTGACGACGAGGCGCCGGCCGACGGCGAACCCGTCAGCCTGCCGGCGGACCGGGCGACTGTGGACGGCTCGGAGCCGGCGGTCACTCACGCGGAGGACGGTCCGGAGACCAGCGCCGCCAACGCAGAGGGCGCGGAGGCCAGCGCCGCCCACGCGGAGGACGGCTCGGCCGCGGTCGTCGCCCCCTCTGAGGACGGCGGCGCGGGCGCCGACATCGCCCGTGCGGTGGACGACACGGGCGCCGGCGTCACGCGTGCCGAGGCCGACACCGCGCTGCCGGGGCGTGCCTCGCCCGCCAGCTCCGCAGCCAGCTCGACGGCCGACTCCGTAGACGCGCCGGCGGCGGCCGACGGCGCCGAATCGCGGCTGACGAACGGCGCGGCGCCGCGGCCGCCCGGCCAGCGGCTCGACGACAGCGAGGTGGTGATCGCCGGGAGCAGCATCGTACATGGCGGCCCGCCGGACTCCGACCCCGGCAGCCGGTTCGAGCTGACGCTGGAGGAGACTGCCGGCACGCCGCGGTCCGAGCCCGAGCCCGAGCACGCGCCCGAGCCGGAGCCGGCTGAGCCGCACGTGTCGGTCATACAAGTGGAGCCCGAGGAGGAGAAGGCGGCAGGTGGGTTAAGGTGGCGTGTCGCTCGCCTGGCCCGCGGCAGGTTGACCGGGTCTGCTCGTCACTGGCCAACAGACCCGCGGCGATAAGTGCCCGGATATCACCACCTGAACTTGTTCAGGCTTGTCACATGGTGGCTGCTGGACCCGGGAAGGGATAGGTGCTTGAATTATATCTTATGTTGTCTTTAACTTATCTTACTGCGCATGAATTTTACGCCTGCTCAATGTTAAACTACTGTTTCCTGTGCCTGATCATCTGACAGATTTGCAAGCCACTTTCATGGTGTCGTCATTGCACCATTTTATTTCTCTACGACTTTCTTCGAATGCCGCTGAATGTAGCGTCCTTCGCCCCACCCGCTGTCCGTGGCGCGCGTGCCGGGCTGGCGTCGGCCCCCCGTCCCGGTGACAGTGCGTGTGCCCGGCGCCGCCAGGCTCCGAGGCCACGCTCACCTCCATGCTGGTGGAGGGCACGACGGTGGGCTCGTCCGACGTGGACCAGCTGGACGAGGACGAGGACGACGGCAGCGTGTTCTCGCCCGAGCTCAACTCCACCGCCCGGGTCAGTAGGCCCGGCCAGCTGCGCCGTCGGCTCGTGTGGGTGGCGGGGGAGGCGGAGGGAGAGAGGCTTGGGTTAGTCTCATCACACGGAATCCATGTATCGGATTTTCTAACCGAGTCAGTTTCCCTGGCCCTCCCTGGTCATGCGGCATTTGCCGATCACGACGCGTGCTTTACGGAAGCTGCCGTATCGGACCGGGTCCCGTGGCTCCCCTGACCCCACCCCTGACCCCTTGCCCCGGGCCCGCCTGTGTCTCCTGACCCCACCCCTGACCCCTGACCCTCGGGCCCGCCTGTGTCCCCTGAGTGTGGGATCTCCGCCGCCAGCCGGGCTCGCGGGCGAGCAGCGCCGACAGCGACGGCCTGCCCGAGGCCGACTCGGCCGGCAGTCAGAAGGAGAACATGCCGCCGCCGTCCGCGGTGCCCGCGCCCCGCCGCCAGCAGGACGACGACGAGGATGAAGACGTAGTGCTGAGGAAGAAGCGACCGCCGCTGTCCTCCCAGGTAACACCGGTCGGCCTTCGCCTTCCCCCTGGCGGGGTTGCCACCGCTGCCCTACTGGCGTGCTATCTTCGCCCGGGCAGTTTCGGGATGCGTGAGGAATGCGTTGCTGCAAGTGCTCCATTGTTGCCGTTTATGCACTTATTTCGGGAACACGAGGTGTATGTGGGCCATTGGGTGCAACCGTTATATTTACACACAACTAACCGCAGACCCGGAGACTCCGTGCTCGCCGAATGCGTTTCGCGAAAATCCCAAGCCGTCACCCGGCTCGACCATAACGGCGTCAGTAGCTCAAACGCGACTCATCGCGCCGTCATGGTGGCAGGCGCGCGTGAGGTCTGACACCGCGCCCGGCCGCCGCCAGGACTCGTCCAGCGTGTCGCGCTCGTCCACCATGAGCCGCACCAAGGAGGAGCAGGCCATCTCGCACCTGCGCAAGAAGACGCGCAAGCGGACGCGGCGGTTCGAGATCGACGGCGTCGTCGTCACCACCACCACGCACAAGGTGTTCTACGGCGACGACGAGTCGGCGTTCGTCGACGAGCATGTGTTCAGGAAGCAGGAGCTGCGCGACCTCAAGATGCTGCAAAAACAGGAGCAGAAGCAGTTCCGCGAGCTCAACGCCAAGGTGCGTCATGGGAACTGGGAAATGCAAATTTCAGGAGGCAATGCATGCGGCATTGGACAATGTTCATTTCCATTCATCATGGCCGGTGTGATCTGGTAACCTGGTCGGTGCTATGTGCGATTGCCGCGTTGGGCTTTCCGGATCGGACGTCGGACCTTCCGAAGTGAACGCCGTCCTGTGATTGGACCGCCCCACGTCCGCACGCTGACTATGTCGGGCGCGCGGACGTGTCCGGATCGGACGGCGGACCGTCCGTAGTGAACGCCGTCCTGTGATTGGACCGCTCCACGTCCGCACGCTGACTGTGTCGGGCGCGCGCCGCCACAGTCGCAGCTGGGCCGCGACAACCAGCAGCGCAAGTTCGAGTCTGAGATGGCGCAGCTGGTGCGCCAGTACGACAGCGACCTGGACAGCCTGCAGCGGCAGCAGAAGACGCAGGTGGAGCGGGCCGAGCTGCAGCAGGATAACGACCTGCGCTCGGCGAGCAAGAAGATCCGCGCCGAGCAGGTCAGCGGCGGCGTCACTGCCGGGGCAGACATACGGGCAGCGTGGACGGGGTGGAGAGCGGGCATGACGACTGCCGACCGCATAAACAAGGCGGACAATGAAAATGTGATGTGAAAGAACATTTTCGGTTCAGCTCACTGGCCAGTTTTTCCGACCAGTGAGATGGGGAGTAGCTGGTAAAGCGGCGAGTTATTTTCTTGGATTTATGTGTCAGATGTAACGCCAGAAGGCATTGCTGTGTTGATGACTAATGTCGATTGATAAATCTGACATCTTTGCCAATATTGAGTCCAACTTGTGGGCTGTATATTGGCAGAGATACCTTTGTCGTTGATTTTCCCATCCACCGTCTCCGTAAGGGCTTCGCGAGACGTTTTAAACATCTTGTGGGTGAATATCCGTACCGACTCCCCGGACGCAGGTGAGGAGGTGATTGCCAAAACAACAGGTGAAACAGCATTCAGCTGCCCACGATTCCCTGACTGTTGACTTCAGTACAGCTTCGATTATCAACATCAGTGCAGGCGACCGGATGGGCCCTGTGGGAAAGTTTGCGGCGCAGACGGGTGGACCGAACTGACTATCTCCCGCCCTCATCTCAGGAGCGGGAGCTGAAGACGTTCCGCGACTCGCTGAAGCAGGAGCTGCGTCTGCTGAAGCAGGAGACGGACATGCTGCCGCGCGACCGCAGGAAGGAGGCCCACAAAGTCCGCAAGGACAAGCTGGACAGCGAACACCAGGTACGCAATGCGGCATCCGCCGGCGCTGGCCGTACCACTGACGCGTGCTCGGATCGGACGCAGAAGGTCCGGACCGGGCGTCGTCGCTTGACGTCGCCGGTCAGTAGGGCACATCAGTACATTGTAACGTTATTGGCGTCGGTTACAGCGCGATTGTGCAGTTGTGATGCGGTGGTGCGTATGTGTCCCAGTGTATTGCAGGACGGTGGTATTTTGAATAGGTCGTGATCGCGTCTGTCGTGCTTCACAAAGTACCTGGTAGACCTGGCAGTCGAAGCTCGACAGATCGCCAGTCTGTTTCGGGGGAACGGTGGCCTATCACGACCGCGGGGAGGGGGAGGGGGAAGGGGATGCTCCGCTGGCGCCGGGGCGCACCGTCCGCTGGCCGCGCTGGGACACAGGGCGGACGGTGGTGAGGCCCGTCCGCCAGCGCCAGTGTCCGTGACCGCGCCGGGTCAGCGCCAGAGGCCGCCGCTGACCGGTGCCCACGTGGTCGGCAGGAGAAGGAGCGGGCGTTTATCGAGCGTCTGAACGAGTCGCACGAGTCGTCGCTGCAGCGGCTGGCCGAGCAGCACCGCGAGAAGATCGCTCTCATGGAGAAGCAGTTCCTGCAGCAGAAGCAGCAGGTCGGGCGTCGGCGACGACCAGGGACTTGGTGCTGAGCTCTGGGGCACGGCGGATCAAGTGCTGGGCCAGGGATGGCGTGCTGGGTAGTGGGCTGATGGCCAGAACCACGTCTACGTTAATGCATTCTAAGCGCGCCGCAGTGGTTGTTGGCCAACGGGTTTGAGTTGTTTGGTGTTAAGTGTCATATGCTCTGGCTCACTTGCCATGGACATATGTCCATGTGCTTTTTGTCGAATCCGAATCAAATATGCCTCAAATCAGATCCTGAAGCTAGGTCCAAGTTTCGAGTGGTGCTTGGGAGACACATGCCGTGAGAACGCACCAGCTCAGCTGGCTCGCGTATTGACTCCGGTATATCCACAGTTGCTGCGCGCCAAAGAGTCGGCCGTCTGGGAGCTGGAGGAGCGTCAGATCCACGAGAAGCACCAGATGAGCAAACACCAGGTCAAGGAGGTGTTCTTCCTGCAGCGACACCAGGTCAGCGAGCGCGGCTTGCCCGACAGGCGTCCTGTCGGCCCCGCCCTGTGCTCGACCCGCCCTGCGGCCGGGACGCGGCGGGACGCGTACCGTCGCTGCTGCCGGCGCCGGTACGCGCCGGTGCCGGTCCAGACGAGGTCCAGACGGCAGTGTTCTGTCGGTTCCGCTGATGGCTGTATTGCTTGATGTGGCTGGCAGCTGGCGTCTGGTGACGCGATTCACAGTCATGCCGACTGTGCTCGACGTGGTTGACTGTGCCAGTCTGGCCACTCTCCTGGGTTATTACTATCCGCTATCTTTATCAGCGACTCCCGCGCCTCCGTCGGATGACTCGCCGCCCTTCTGAGCGGCTCTCCCCGGGACCGACTCAGTCCTGCTCCGCCAGATGCTGCTGCGCCACGACAAGGAGCTGGAGCACGTACGGCGCATGAACACGCGGCGCACGGACGAGCTGGCGCGCCAGCAGCAGGTGGAACGGCGCGCGCTGCCCAAGCGCATCCGCGCCGAGCGCAAGGCGCGCGAGCTCATGTTCCGCGAGAGCATGCGCATCAGCAACACGCTGCCGCACCGCGCCAGCCTCTCGGAGGCGGACGGCGACGAGCGGGACCGGCTCAAGAAGTTCCTGGAGCAGGAGCGGAAACGGTGCGTGGTGCCGCCGCGGCGCTCGACAGCCGGCTGGCGGCGCCGTGTGGGCAGTGCCGGCTGGTCCCGTGCGGGTAGTGGGGTTCTCACAGTGCGCGGTGGGGGCTGTGGGACGCTGACGCGGTTTGCGGCGCCGGCTAGGACTGGCTTGTGAGTCTGGCAATGGTTAACATCCCGGAGGGTCATTGTGACGTTGCTAGTCCGACAACGTGCTGCGCGCCACCGATAGTTTCCACTTCGGTGTCATGCTCTGGCCTCGACTGAAGCGGCCGTCGCTACGCGTCTTCCCGCCGGCCGTAGTCGGCTCGCTCTGTGTGTGGCCTGAGCCTCTCTTTCTGAGTGCACAGAGCGGGGCGGCCAGTCAGAGGAGTGTACCCGCGGCCACTGTTGGTGACCGTCGGCTGGTGTGACGCAGGTACAAGGCGGAGGAGCAGCGGTTCGACCTGAAGCACAAGCGCAAGCTCGAGGAGCTGCGGGCCAAGGGCGATGCCACCATCAAGGAGCTGGAGCAGCTGCACAACGAGAAACGTGAGTGGTTGGGCGAGCTTGGGGTGTCGGCCTACAGAAGCGCATGAGCCTCCCGATAAGCGGACGGACCCCGTTTTGAAATTGGTCCGTCCCTGAATCCGCGTGGGGTTAATGCTTAAATGACGGCAGTTGTGGAGTGTGGTGCAGTTTGACCGCATCGATCCTCCGGTCTTTCCTCGCGCGTGGCCGATGGGTTTGGGACCTTGCGACCCGGGGCCAGTCGACACAGCTGAGCCGTATGGCGACGCCACCGGATATTGTCACACCTGAGAGTCGCAGCATGTCGACTTGAGCGTTCCTTGAACACTGGCGATGGATACGAGGGATGTTGCCAGCCACGTTATGTGCCAATTCACCGGCCATGTCGTTTTGGTCCGCCGCTCTTGCGGCGGACCAAAAGACGCCGTCATTGCGTTGGGGGCCGCCGCAATGACGGCGTCTTGGTTGGCACGCGCAGGTCGCATGCTGATGGAGCACGAGTCGATCAAGCTCAAATCGCTGGAGGAGACGTACCAGACGGAGCTCAAGGAGTGGAAACACTCGCTGAAGCCCCGCAAGCAGGTGAGCATGACCGTTTGGGTCGGCAGCCTGGCCGGGCTCTCCCGGTGTGCGGCTCGGTTGATCAGGCCGGCTTGTCGAGCGGCCAGAGATGCGTGCGAGGAGACGCGACGTACAGCTGACCTGTCCTTCAGACCGAGCCTTGACGCATACTTCTCCCTCACAAACCTAGGCCGTTGAATGGATTGCTATGCTACAACTTGTGTTTTGACACGGAAGGCTGAGCGAGCTTGTCCATGAGCGCCGCCTGTCCGTGCCGCTGGCCGGGCCGAATACTGTCGGCTCTCGCCTGGTGACCGCTGCCCGGAGCCGGACCGGGCGCCCGCTGAGCGTGCGCGCGCGCCCGCCGCCAGAAACTGGAGGACGACTTCGCGGTGGAGCTGGAGGAGCAGGAGCAGTTCTACACGGGCCCGGTGGGCGCCGGCGGCTACACGGCGCCGCTCAGCGACGGCCGCGCCAGCCTGGGCCGCGTCAGCACCTCCAGCTACCGGTCACAGTGACGCGCGGCCGCCGCCGGCCACGGTCACGGTCACGGTCACGGCCGGTCAGGGGCCCGTGCCGGCCGGTTGGGGCCCCGGTGACGGCGGATCAGGGTCGCCATCGGTGTGACACCCGGTCAGGGTCCCGGGGACGGCCGGCTAGGGTGCCACGACGGTCGTTTAAGGGGTTTTGCGACGGCCGGTCAGGAGACATCACGACGGACGAGGGTGCCGCGGGCATCCGGTGATGTTCCTCCTCCGCCGACGGCAGTAGTCCGTCCTCCGGTGATACTGGCGACCTGGACCGCTAGCAGGGACGGCGACGGCGCTGCCTTGACTGAGCGCCGCCGCGGCGACACAGCGGAGTCTTCTCACACCGGTGTGCTGGCGAGCCTCGCCCCCCTTCGTCGGCGCGTCTTCCGCGCGATGGTGGACGCGCTTCGGTTGACCAGAGCTTGACAATATCGATCGCAGTGACGTTTTATCTTGTGACTCCCCGCGCCTGTGTTCTCTCGTCGCTGCCCACAGTGGGAGCGCGTTTTACTGCAGCCGATCTGTACGGTGATTCAAAGTGTGGCTTTATCTATGCAATGCCTTGGGTGCCGGCCCTGCGCCCGAGCCTCCAGGAGGCGGGCCGCGGGCCGGTGTTTGACCACTTGACGCGCGTGTTAGCTTGGGACCCAGCGCGGCCCGCCGGGCGGCGCCGCCCCGAGCGGGACGACCAAAGTGCGGACGGCGGCGCGGCCGTTGCGCCGGAGCTGGCGCCGCCGCGTGCAGTATTCCGCGTGTGATGACGGGCTGTCGGAAGCCTCCCCTGAGCAGGCCCAACGGCGACGCGCGTATTTAATCGCTTCACCCGTGTACACGACCCACGTGCGACTAGCTTCAGCTGCTCTAACCAGGGGAATCTACGGGTTAGTGGAGGGTGTGAGCGGGCTGGCGCCGGTCCGCGCGTCTGTGATGGGCTCCGACCGCCCGGTGACATTCCGCCGAGACGGCCCGGCCGGCCGCGCCCGGTGCGGCGGCGGCGGCGCCGTCTGCCCGTCTGTCGGCCGCCACGCCCGGTTCATAATAAACGGTACCGATCTGCGCAGCGTGTGTGCGGGCAGCGGAGAGCGGGCGGCCGCGGTTGCAGCCAGACTGACCACGGCCAGGTCACCCGCAGGTCAACGCTTTCCCATGGGATAATGCTGGGGTGTGGCATGTCTCGGTACATATTCCTCAAATTTGCCATGACAAGCGTTCATCGGACCCTGGCCTAAAGGTTTCGTCGAGGGCATCTACCAGACCACCTTCGGACTATAAACTACATCCAATGTCCCTGCAGGTCATTCTGCATTGATCGAAAGCTTGGCAGAGATCAGTCCTAAGTATGCGTAGCCTTTTTCAAGTGTTCCCACTGCCAGTGTAACGCGAAAAAACGTAGTTTGTTTCGGTCTTATAGGCAAACAGTACAAAATAATTTCAACGTGGCAGGTGGGACCACTCCGTGTCAGACTGGCCCAGGCCATCTGCCCATTGACCGCTACCGATTATTTGCACAAACGCTGCACGTGTGGCGCGAGCCCTCAGTGCGCCTCAGTTTGACCCACCGACCAGCCGTCCACCGGCCGGGCTTCAGTGACGGCTTCCACATAACTCGGGGAGGTGGGATCTGCTTCACGGATGGTCCACACACTGGGAATGCATGTGCCCACTGGTATGTATCTATCCACATCCATCCACTGGAATATAACCTGGCATATCATTTTAGCATTTCTCCACCTGATCTCGAATGAGAACAAAACCATGCAACTTGCGATTTTGACACCCACTTTTGACACTTGCAATGGTGTCGTGTTGCACCGCCCGCGTATGCAAGAGGAAAACTACTCATCACAGTGGTTAGCCCCCAGCGTAAGCATTAATCATTAGCATTTGGGTTTCGACTGCAGCAGCCATTTAGAGCCTACTTCTTTGCCAGGCGATCTTTAGTCATCCGGCGCATGCGCAGATGGCGCGCCAAGCGCTCCGAGTCATCGAGCCTGACAGGCGTCTCAAAGCTGGAGTCGCACACAGTCGCGGAGCATTACACGGGTTAACAGATTATCTGAGAGTCTACGTGCTCTGCAAAGTTTAAATGGCCCTCGCTTCAGACAGGTTCCTCCCTAATGAAGCAAGGCAGCCATTCCCCGCCGGGCGTACGGGCCAAAGGAACGCTGCCGCCCAGCTCCAGTAGTGACACTGCGTAGTCACATGGGCAACTATCAGTGTGTGATCACATTGACCTGCTAGAAAAATGTGAGCTCCGTAGGTGTAGCCGATAATGAGGCGATAAATGCCGACTTCGTTCCTGCTGCTGTCGCGTTGGGAGGACACCCAATCATCCACCGTGTCTTGTCTTGTCCTGAGTTTATCATTCACGCTATCGTCGGTATCTGTGCTCAGCTGGTCGCAAGCCTGTTGCCAGTTTGTGTTGCCAAACGACCAGACAACAACCGCTTGAAGCGTGGTGCTTGGACCAAAGCAGAGTGGAGGGCCATCTGCGTTCCCTTTAGCAGCAGCGTCGACTCTTCCATTCCCCACCAGCCCAATGACACCCAAACAAAAACCGCGTGTTTCCGGCCCTCTCAAAAACTGCCACCCGCTGTCAGATGTCCTTCACTAAGGCATGCTTAGTTTTCACATGCTGCATAGAGTCTGTACATATAAATGACGCTCCGCTCGGTAGTTCTCTGCGTAAGACAGCACCTCTCTCACAGCGCAATCTAACAGTAACAATCGAGCAGTGCACACTTGAGCATAGTGCACCATGTGATGTAACATGTGAAAACTTGGCCAACCGGCACCACCTCGTCCCTTCTTGGCTTGGAACCATCCCCGTATATATTTACCAACCCATTGTACTCTAAGTGAATATGGCAAAGAACCTCAACTAGGGACTCCTCAGCAGTCTTCAGCATCTTTTGGCCGGCGCGCAGATGGCGACTTTCGGCTGCGCTCGTAGCACATCGTGCGACACGTGCCTCACAACCTACATGCACTTTCTTACACACGACGACCATGTGGTCATGCAGAGCATCAAGCCAGTTTCTAAGAAGGGCTCAAGCGAGCACTCGTTTGTCCCTCGACAGTCAGCCGTTACCCTCGTCGCCGCAGAGCAACAGAAGACAGTTGCATGGTTTATTGTAACGCCTAGGTATCTGGTACATGGTAGCTGGTTATAACAAGACCGGGCACACGCACACGAAAGCTCAGCCTAGCAACGAGGGACAGACATTAAGTACGCGGTTAAATGCTGCGCGGCTCGGCTCACGCACTTACATCAACCCATCGGCAGGGGTGCTACAGGGCACTACAAGCCCCGCGCGAGTGTCACTACACAGGCGACAGAAGACCATTCCCCAGCGCCGGATACACTCGGACGCCCACGGCAACACGCGCACGTCCCGGCGTAAAATACTATTCACATCCGCGAGCACGCCCCGATCCGCGCGATTATAAAACGGCGCGCGTCGCACCGCAAGCCGGCACTCTGCCGTCCATTCCGGTCCGTAGCAGCACGCCGTCCAGTCCGGTCCGTAGCAGCCTGCCGTCCATTCCGGTCCGTAGCAGCCTGCCGTCCAGTCCGGTCCGTAGCAGCCTGCCGTCCAGTCCGGTCCGTAGCAGTCTGCCGTCCAGCGCTCGGCCAACTGCACAACCTGCAGTCTGGTGCTGAGCCGGCACGATCACCGTATACACAGCACGTGCCACGCCAGCGGTCGCACTGTCCCCAGCGCACCGCACGCGGCCTGGGCCACCTTGCCCGGGCACAGTCCGCGGCTCCCCGCGGTGCCACTCGCCACCACTACCCGCACAGTGCCGCGCCGGCGACGCCCACACCCCGCCCGAGCTGCCAGTGGACGCCGCCACGCAGCGGCCGCGCGGCGCGCTCAGGTCTTGTGCCGCTTGGAGTGTCCCTCGAGCGCAGTGGAGCAGCGGTCGCGGGTCTGCTCACGGTCCACGCCGGGCCCCAGCTCGTCGGACGGCCGCTTGGCGCCCGGGTTGGACAGGCGCAGCGTCTCCATGTCGTTGAAGATAACGGCGCGGCCGCCGCCGACCGTCGGCACCACGTCACCCTGCGCCGGCAGAGAGGGTCCGACGTTAGACACGGACGGGCAGCGGCACCAGACGGTGGCGCTGGTGTGTGTGGTGCGCCGGCGAAGGCGGACCAGTCCGAAAGCTGACAGACAGTTGCTGGACAGTTGCTGGTGGTGCACTCAAGACAGCTGTTTACATCTTCGCTCTGCGAGTCGATGCTGATGGGCCCCGTCAGAAAGCACGCGACCCGCGCATAAGACACAAAGCAGAACGAACACTGAACACAGACGGAGGAAAGCGTTTCCCACGGACTAAATTCGCATTAGTGAAGCGCGCGCCCTGCCGAGCAGCTGATGAGCAGGATGGGGCGGGAAGGGGCGAGCAAGCAGGCTCACCTTGATCTTGTGCGTCTCCACCTCGCCGGCCGAGTCCTGGTCCTGATGGGTCAGCACGTACTTGGACGTCTTGTCGTTGATCACGTCCTTGGCGTCCAGCTTCGTCACCGACTTGCGCTTCTTCATCTTTGGCTGCAAGCGGACCGCGAGTGCGCACTGAAAGCCCGCACGGGACAAACACGCAGGGGACACGAGAGACCAAGCGTACCGACGGCCACGAGTTAGCCCAGGGACTGCGGTGCTGGGGTTTGAGTACGGGGAGTTGGTGCGCTTGTGTAGAGCGAGGCAGGCAGTATATGTGACACGCAGAGATCAGTCAGCGTTCTCCAGCAGTGTTTCCCGTAACCCTTCAGCGTCACCCGTCATCAACCCGTTATCGGTCCACTGGCAGCCTACCGGATGGCCGACAGACAGCGGCCGGCCGCAGCTCGTTACCTGGAAAATGGTGGCCAGTTCGAGCACGTGGCCGGGGCGATGGTCCAGCCACACCTCGGCGTCAGTCGACTTGGAGCGGCGGTGGCGCGGATTGGCGATGGGCACAGTCTGCGGCGGAGGCGGCCGTCAGAGCACCGCAGCACCGCCCGACGGTGGAGGCGGCCGTCAGAGCACCGCAGCACCGCCCGACGGCGAGGGCGGCCGTCAGAGCACCGTCCGACGGCGAGGGCGGCCGTCAGAGCACCGCCCGCCGGCGAAGCGACCGACACAGCTGCGGCCGCGTGCTAGCGGTCGCACATAAGGCGCCAGAGGCAGGTGGCTTGTGGCCAACCTTCAGCGCGACCGCCCCAGACACACATGCTGACCGCCCACACCCAGCACGCACCATCATCCATCTTCCGGTTTTTTTAATGGCATCGCTGAAAACGAAATTTTGCCGCGTGGACTGTTTACTCTGCCAGCACCACAATCAGCTCCCACCAAGCCTGACCAAGCCGGCGGACCTTTACCAGGCATGGCAGATAGCACACCATTATGGCATGCGATACCACAACCGTCCGCGGTAAATGCATCACCCCGCCGGGAAAACACGCCACCTCAGACGGGAACTGAGCCCACGTGGCGCTGTGGCACCATCCGACAGCGTCTGTCACTCCCTTCGAATCGCCACCAAAGCGCCGACAGCTACGCCGCCACGTCTGCGGCAGACTCAGCCCGCCGACGGTCACAGCCTGGTCAGCCGTGACAGTCGGCGTTCGACACCGCGTCGACTGACAGCAGCCACAGGCGGCCGCCGGTGCCGCCACATCTGAGCACATACGTCACTGGCGTCACCGGCGGGCCGCGGCGCGTCCCACACTCACCCGCTTGGGCTGGGGGGTGGCCGAGAGGCGCGGGTCGGAGCGCGACGGCCGGATGGCCGCCTCGCCCGACACGCTGGGCCGCGGCGCCGGCGTCGGCGGCGCCGACGGCACAGCGAACCGCGCGTCGTCGTTGTTGATGATGTCACGCAGCGCGCGCAGCTTCTCGTCCTTGGCGCGGATCTCCGTCTGGCGGCAGCGACGGCGGCGCTGTGTTACGGACGACCCAGGCCGACCGACGCCGCAGTCAGGACGTCCCAGGGCGCAGGCGCCAGACAGCGGAGCGCGACCACGCCACCGGAGCGCGGGTTAGGCCCGTGTGTCGAGCAAGCCGCCCAGCGACCGTCCCAGGGCGCAGGCGTCCGACAGCCGAGTGCGACTACGCCACCGGAGCGCGGGTTAGACCCGTGTGTCGAGCAAGCCGCCGAGCGACCGTCGCATGGGTGTTGTTGAGCGCCCTCCAAAAATTCGAGAAATTCCACGCAGAACCTTTTCTAATTCCACAGACAGAGCCGATCCTGACAATGACAACGAATCTGCGGGAACAGGAAAATTATCTAAAAACCATTACCAATGACAAAAGCCATGAAAGCGCACCGATCGGAACTGCTGACTCACCTTCATCTGCTCCCGGTTGACCTTGATCTTGTTCTTCATGTCGGAGGCGAGCCGCTCCTTCTCGATCTGCATCCTGGTCTTCATGCGCTGCTTGACGCGCTCTCGCTCCAGGCCCTCCTGGTTCAGCTTCATCTCCTTCTCGTCCAGCTGTCAGACAGGCGGCCGGCCAGCAGGGTCACCGGCCGGGCGACACGTGCCGTGGCGACGACACCAAGTGACAGGGCACGTGGCGACGAAGCGCCCGCCGGCGGACGGCGCAACGGACGGACCCAGGCGAGGGTCTCAACAGCGGTGGCGTCAAACGCAATCCAACTGACATGCGTTTGGCGGTTTGTCCACTTTGAGTACATATAATGCAATGCCTACCTGGGTGGCGCTACGTACGTCCTTTACCGGACGATGCATCTATTTTTCTACCTGCTGATGGCCTATGCGCAGGCGACCATGGGTATCCACCGCTATCTACCGCGGCACAACGAAAACGCACACCCAAACAACAAACCAGGAACTGAATATTACGCAGTCGTGACCCTCACTGAAGAGTGGAAAGAAAACAAATAATATAAGCGACACAGGCTGATCGCTTGCAGCCAATTCCGTGCACCCATATCCGGCACCAAACCCTCGCCCAAACCATGCGGTTCACCCCTGCCCTCCGCGCCAGACTTCGGCCATCACCCCGCCCGACCGGCTCACCTCGTTGACAAGCGCCGCCTGGTTGTCGTTGAGCTCGCGGAAGCGGCGCGTCAGGCTGTCGTTGGCGGCCTCGGCGCTGGCCAGGCGCGCCTCGAGCGCGGCCGTGCGCCGGCCGCTGCCCTCCGACGCGGCGCGCAGCGTACCGTTCTCCTGGCGCAGCGCCGCCATCTCCATCTCGGTCTTCACCAGCAGCTGGCGGAACGCGTCCTCTGTCGGCGGCGGCGAGGGCGGCCGGTCAGGCGTCGACGCGACTGCCCGCGGCTGGGGTCGACGCCTTCAATGACCGCGCACGCGATTCCGAAGCAGATGTCGCCAGCCGGCGAGACGTCAATTCAGTTCAAACCCAACACGCAGCACGTGCCGGACCCGTGAACACGTGACCTGGGAAGCCCGTGCGCGCCGAACTTGGTACCCAGCCAAGTCTATATAATACTGAAAAACTCAGCCCGCTTACTTCGGCGCGCCTTACGGCGAGCCGCATACTCTGGACATGTTGACGCCGTTTGACCCGCAAGTGTCAGCCCCGCACTCACCACGGGGTCCTGGTACACTTTCATTCACCACCCAGCACACAACTAACCAAACCGTATTAGCATGTATCTACCCCCAGCGGCCGACCCAGGACGCCCACAACACAGCACCCGGCCGGCGCGCGCCGGCAGTGCGCGGGGGGCCGTGCCAGCGGCGCGCCGGCGGCCACCGCGGTACTGACGCTGTCGGTGCAGGTCGTGCAGCAGGGTGGCGCGCAACTGGACGCGACGCTCCAGGAAGCGCACCAGGCAGCGCACCGTCTCCTCCTCCTCGCCGGGCGTCATGGCCATGCTGGGCCAGACGGGCCCCAGGCAGAAGACGGGCCCCAGTTCGTCGGGTGAGGCGTCCGACGGCGCGCCCACCTCCGACCCCAGGCGGCGCTGGGCCTCGCGCAGGATCTGACGGTCAGATGGCGACAAAGGTCACGCCTCCGGCTGACACGGCGGTCACGGCGACAGGGACTGACAGAGGTCACGGCAACAATGACTGATAGAGGTCACGGCGACAAGGACCGACAGAGGTCACGGCAACAAGGACTGGCAAAGGTCACGGCGACAAGGACTGACAAAGATCACAAGGTCTAACAGAGGTCACGGCGACAAGGACTGACAGAGGTCACGGCGACAAGGACTGACAAGGGTCACGACACGCTCCAGGACGCAGGCCAATTCGATCACAAACCTGGCATATCGGCTGACGCTGGTTTGCCCTAAAACCAGAGATTGAACACCAGGGGTGGTCACACCAAGATCAGAAACACCAGGAAAGACGAACGTGAACGCAGCAGCCGCGTGCTGACGGTCATTGACACCGACCCTATGACCGCACCAACTTCGCTCAGTCATCACATACAAAGTACCACACATAAATCGCTGGTGTTGCTAAATCTGGTGGTCGCATATTTTGAGCGGGAATTTATCAAAGGAGACGCGCTGAAACAAAAAGTCCGGCAGCGCACGCAACGGACTTCACGCAGTGCTGCGTGGCCTGAGTGCAGAGTGGCCAGGCAGGCTGGACGGGTCAGCACCTCCGGGGCGGGAGCGAGCGGTGCGGTGCCGGCCGCGGTGTGAGTCCCCCGCTCTCACCTGGTTGGCCTTCCTCCTGCCCGGCGTGAGACCGATGCCGACGTCCAGGGGCCGGTCGGCCGGCCGCGCCACCACCACCTCCTGAGTCAACTCGGCGAACTTCATCACGTGCTGCAGGCGCCGCCGCACGCGTCCGTCACACACTGGCGCTAGCAAGCGTCGGTGTCACACACCAGCGTGCGTGCTCACGGAGAAGACGGGATAGTCGGCGGTGCCCGACGGCTATACAGGTCACGACGAGCGAGCCGGCGGGCGGGGATGGGTGTGTTTGTATGTGGGGGGGGGGGGGATCATCAGGTCACCATCACCATCGGACACCCAGGAGAGGTTTGCCACGTCATACAGCAAAGACAACACACGACACACCAGAGCGGGCCGCCGCTCATCAACACTCGTGGGACCCGCCACCGTCTCGCTAGCCTCCACGCCCGCACGGAGCCCCACCGCCTCACCCCAGTGACGCGGCCGCGCCCCACTCACGATCGTCTCGTCGTACTCGCCCACCGCCTCATCCCAGTGACGTGGCCGCGCCCCACTCACGATCGTCTCGTACTCGCCCACAGCCTCACCCCAGTGACGCGGCCGCGCCCCACTCACGATCGTCTCGTCGTACTCGCCCACCGCCTCATCCCAGTGACGCGGCCGCGCCCAACTCACGATCGTCTCGTACTCGCCCACCGCCTTACCCCAGTAACGCGGCCGTGCCCCACTCACGATCGTCTCGTCGTACTCGCCCACCGCCTCACCCCAGTGACGCGGCCGCGCCCCACTCACGATCGTCTCGTCGTACTCGCCCACCGCCTCACCCCAGCGACGCGGCCGCGCCCCACTCACGATCGTCTCGTCGTACTCGCCCACCGCCTCACCCCAGTAACGCGGCCGTGCCCCACTTACGATCGTCTCGTCGTACTCGTCGGCGCGCGGGTTGACACACACGACCATCTTGACCTTGCCCTCGCCGTCGAAGTAGTTCTTGAAGAGGTGCGTGATGCGCGAGTCGCGGTACGGCACCATCTTGTTGGCGCCCGTCAGCTGGTTCTCCCGCAGCGTCTCGATGCAGGTGCGCAGCACCATCAGCGAGTTGTTGATGTTGCCTGGGCGCAGACGGCACGGCTCGCGTGACACCGAGCACACTCAGACACTTGAGGCACGCAAACAGTGAGTTCGTGCGATGGGGATCAGCTCACAAATTGACCACGAAACCAAACAAGTGGAGAAGGAGGAATAAATAGCTGACTATGTCACTGCCCAGTACATCTTAAACATAAAGTTTTTTGCTACATAGCCGACAACGCAAACCTACAGCAACCGCTTCTAGGAGCTGTTCGACAGAAGACTTTGAACCTGACACTCATTAACAAGCACTCTAAGACCTTACGAGCCCCATTTCAGCAGACAGCGAAAGGCCACGAGAGCGGGGTCTGCTCACGGACCTGCCTCGCGCAGCCTGTCGCCGTTGTTCTTGGTGCGGTTGGTGCGCTCACTGCCGGCCAGGTCGACCAGCGACAGCTGGCCAACCACCATCAGCGCCTTGTCGTCGAGCACCTCCTCACCCCGCGGGTCCAGCGGCGCCTATCGGCCGAGTGGAGCGAAGGCGCCGGTCAGCCGCGCAGCGCAGCCAGGTGGAGCGAGCACCTCCGGTCAGGCGGACACACGTGTCGGGCCGGCAGCCGAGAGCGACCGAGACCAGGCCACTGCGCTGGGCACGGCCGCCATCAGAACGGGCACCGCACACACGCCACACAACGGAGGCCGAGGACGACCGGGTATAAGGCACCGACCCAGCCACAGCCGCCAGAGCAGAGTCCCACCACTGACCAGCGCGCATACAGCACCGTCCCCAGCACGCTCTGACACACCCGCGGAGCCCGTGTCTCCAGGACCGGCCGGGCGGGCGCCGCTGACCTGGACCACGCGGATGGTGAAGACCGAGTGGGAGCGGCTGCTCTCCGTGTTGAGTGTGGTGTGTGCCACCTTGCGGCGCCGCTGGCCGCGCCGCAGCGCCTCCAGCGCTTCGCTCGGTGACGACACCTCCACCTCGCTCACGCCGTGCACGTAGATGTTCTTGTTGTTGTCCTCGCGCAGCATGCGGGACTGCATCGACCTGGCGAGCGCACCGGCTGGGTGTGAGGCAGACGCGTCCAGCCGGGCACCTTTGCCCGGCGCCTACTGTTTTGCGTGGCGTGGTCGGTTTTTGAAGTCGACAAATGCGAGCAGGTCCATCAAACTGTTTTACACGCATTCCAAGTGGTGGTACGATTGTACGAGCCTCTTTCAGAAAATACATCAAATCATATTGAAGCATGCGGGGTTCGGGGTTCACATTGAAAAATCAGCATCGAACAGCGGCGCTACGTGTTTCGTCCTTGTCCAAAGGGGCTGCCTACAAAAAAAAAAAACTACAGGGGCTGCCCGTGGCCTCACTTTTTCATATTCTCCGGGGCGACCTCCTCAAGCAGGTCGTAGACGTAGTTGTTGTAGATCTCCACGTAGGAGACAAAGACGGCGTAAGCGTTGTCCTCGTCGAGGCCGGACACCTGGCTGATCTCTGGCACACGCGTGGAGGCGGCATCACTCTCCTCGGGCGTCACGCTGCCGCTGCCGGCCGGTGCCACACGCCTGCCGACGACGCACGGCCGTCAGTCGTCAACAAAGGGCACCATTGACGTCATGGAGGGAGACGGCGCTCTGCCACTCATCATCTGGGGCTTTATGCATATATATATATATATATATATATATATATATATATATATATATATATATATATATACACATATATATATATATATGCATATATATATATATATATACATATATATATATATATATATATATATATATATAACTTTGCCTAAATCTCGCCTTAAGGCATGAGCAAGGGTACCCTAGCCCCCTAGTCTGGGCAGAGGTCTCTGCATACTGGGTTCCACAGCGCACGGTTTGCTATTTAAGTAGTACAAGCCTGTGGCGGCCAGCACCGAGCGCGCTACACCACACCAGCACGTCAGATGCCCTCCAGCCGCTGGTTTTGCGGCTGGAGATCGGACCGGCGGCACTAACAGCGTGGCGAAGGCCACCCTGCCCAGTCGCTCACCTCTTACGCGGCGTCTTTCCCGGCTTGGGCGTGCTGAGGATCTCCCGCTGCCGGTCTAGCATGGCGTCCGCCTCGTTCTGCACGTCAAAACTGTTCAGACGGTCTGGCTTGAAGACGTAGCGGCGCGCCTGGTAGTTGACGATGCTGTTGAAGATGACGTCGATGCACCGGGGCATGATGCCGCCGTCAGACGGAGTACCTGAGGCAGTCCGCAGTGTGCGAAGCTGAAACCTATACAGATGCACTGCTGGTTCTTGTTGCCTCAAAGTGATCCCATCTGGGCACCTACAAGTCTTATGATTATGAACTCCACACCAAGGCTTCGAATGGACGCTTATGCAAGAGATACAAAGAACACATTGACACACAAACCAGTGTGGCCAGCACGTTCATAGCCACATTCAATCGCAGGCAGCATACAAAAAAATACAACAAAAACAAAAACGACACGTCATTCGACCGCACTTCACAGGCAACAACAGAGACCACTCGGGCCGCAACTTTCGGGAACACCTAGCAACGACTACATAGGCAGGCCATTTACGTTCACCGGTGTTAACAGGATACCGGCTGGCAACAGTCTCCACGTTCGCACTACCAACTCGACCTCTAACTATGCCCTTAGTCATACCGGCACACAATAACGTTTCAACGCGTGCGCCCTCACAACATTCGGGTTTATTCGGTGCGGCGTGACCACGCTGTGGACCGCCGTCGCACGCTCCCTCACCCATCATGGTGTGTGTCTTGCCACTGCCTGTGATGCCGTAGGCGAAGAGCAGACCATTCTTGCCACTAAGCAGATCACTGACCAGAGGCCGCGCCACCGCGTCAAACACCTGCTTCTGCGACGCCAACTCCGGGAACACCACGTTGAACTTGTATTGCTGCTCCTTGGCCGTGCCGTACCGGAAAGCCTGCCGCCCGGCGCGTCGCAGTGACCAGGAGGATGCATGCGGCGTGCGATCAACCATGCCTTGCAGACGGTAAAATTAATTCGTTTCACAGGCTTAACAGATGACAGGCGTGGACACAGCTTTGAGCGGGGAGACGCCGGCTACACGCGGGGGAGACACTGGCTACACGCGGGAAGACGCTGGGTATACGCGGGGAGACGCCGGCTACACGTGGGGGAGACGCTGGCTGCACGCGGGGAGACCCTGGCTACACGCGAGGAGACGCCGGCTACATGTGGGGGAGACGCCGGTTACATGCGGGGAGACGCCGGCTACACGCGAGGAGACGCCGGCTACATGTGGGGGAGACGCCGGTTACATGCGGGGAGACGTCGGCTACACGCGAGGAGACGCCGGCTACACGTGGGGGAGACGCCGGTTACATGCGGGGAGACGCTGGCTACACGCGGAGTAGCCGTCGTCGAGCGAGCCGGGAGCGGCGGGTGCGGGCGGCGGGCGGCGGGCGGCGGGGACGGACCTGCGAGTGGGCCGGCGGCGTGACCAGCACGGCCGTGTCGTCCAGCTGTTCGACACACTTCTCTTCGCCGTCGGCGGCCGGCCGCAGCCGGCACACCACCTGCACCGGGTCGACGCCCTCGGGCAGCGCCGGCCGCGCCGGCCGACCCGGCGTCTTGCGCACGCCCGCCTTGGTCCGACTGGCAAGATGGGCACAGGATCAGGCCGAGTGCGGACAGCGACAGCAGTCGCTGAGCTGGGCCGCATTAGGTCAGCATGCTGGCAGTCACAGTATGCTAGCCTCTCTTGGTCAAAATGTCATCCTGGGCAAGAGCTTGTAAGACATATCCAAAAACACAGCAGACCATGGAACACCCGTGGGGTGGAATGCTTCCTTTCTGATAGAAATTTAGCAGTGATTTAACACATCTGAACAGTGATAATTTGTGATGTTTCAGTAACTACCGAAACCTATGCTAAAAAGAACCACACTACAACTATCCCTTTGTTTACTTCAGGCTAAGGCATCCATCACCAGCCTGGAGACATTACCAATTTTCCTTTGAACATTTTGAGCACTGACACTAAATTTTGAAAATGATGTTTCCTGCAACCTATCCCTTAGAAAAACACACATGTGTATATATATATGTGTATATATATATATATATATATATATATATATATATATATATATATATACATATGAAAAACACACATGTATATATATATATATATATATATATATATATATATATATACAGTGATCTACTTACACCAAGTATCAGCTATAAACATCTCACAACTGGGCAATTTTTACACTTAGGCATATATAACAACTGAAAGTGCTTTTCAAAATGACTGGTTAAAAATAATGTTTCATATAAACAGCATATTCATGGTTCAATACGACTCACTGTCATTTTAGTACCAGGCAACTAAGGAGATAGGTGTACCCCAAATTAGTCAAATATAATTTGTTGACACTATGTAGAAACTTTGAGCATCTTACAACTCAGCAGCTTTTACACCTGGGCACATGTCAGAATTAAAAGTGATTTTTGAAACAACCAGTGAATAATATCTTTCAATAAAGTGGAACATTTATGGTTAAATCTGGCTGGTTCAAGTTTTAGCATCCGGCCGCAGGTAGCTACGGTAATTAAATATCAAAAAACCATTTCAAGCTATGCATAATAGAAGATCATTTCCTGCTTATTACAACCTAACATATTAGTATTCCCTGTTGATTACAAATCTTAAGTTTATGTAACTTGCTTGCAGAGCTGCAATCTTAATTGCCATGCTGTAAATATGCATGTTGTGCCAAACATATTTCAGAAAACAGCATCTAAAACATGTTTTCAAGCAAAAAATAAGCTGAGCATACAACACAATTAGCCCTAACCTGAGTCCAGCATATGCATGGCACAGGTTTAGGCACATAAACAAAGTGTAGTGGAGGGATGTTTTGAAAACTGGCCCAGGTGCATCCTGAATGTGATGTACACAAATCTTGCATATTGGTCATGTGAGATTGGATGGCATAGACATTAATGGGAAAAGGATGGTTACAAGTGCAAAACCACTTACATTGTGTGCCATATTTATGACAATTACCACTTATTTCAACATACCCACCATACCATGCCTAAATCTTTTGTCATAAAAAACACAAAAACACAGGATTTTACAACTATGCATTTAAATAAGCTGCATCAGATGAAGTGTGCACAGTGCAACTACTACACATAGAAAAACACATGATGTGCTACAGAAAACAAAACAAAAAGAAATTGAATTCACTTTGCTACTATCACGCAAGCACAAAAAACATTGTCAACAGGAATACATTGATGACTGAACAGGCAATGCATATATTGGTGCACCAAACCGCACTTCATGCCAGTACATATCATACACACAGCCCACACAAGTTCTGTACTGCTACAAGCTGGATTTGAAAGGTTTCATCTGGTTACATTCAGACTACGACACAATTTTTTTTTAAAGCTGACATTTCAAGTTTCCAAACTTTTTAAATGGTCCCAAACCCTGAAAATCTCAATTGGATTCTGGTAATATGTGCACAAATATACATATATATATATATATATATATATATATATATCTCTCTCTCTCTCTCTCTCTCTCTCTCTCTCTCTCTCTCTCTCTCTCTCTCCTCTCTCTCTCTCTCTCCCTCTCTAAGAGCTTTAATACACCAGGTGTTGACAATGGTGACACAAAACTGATCAAACAAGATCAGTAAAAAAAACCCTCTATCTTCATCATAAATGACCATAATTTTCAAACTGCATCAAACATGCAACGGTAGAAGTGGCGATTCAACTTACAGAGGCCTCATCACGATTCAGGAACGGCCTCTTCACGGCCTGCAGCCACTTGTGTTCAATCACTACCTTCTCATAAAGGTTGGGCGGTTCCTCGCAATAAAAAACTCTCGCACGACGTCCGTTTGCTCAACGTAAATTTTACAGCTGAAAATACTTTTTTGAACAGTGCGCGAAAAAGCCTATACACCTTCACTGCCCGCGTCACAATTCGTCTAGAGGCAGTGTTGTTCAAAATGATCCGTGGTAACCAATCAACGCACAGGTCTGGTAGAGTTTAAAAAATCGCCATCCACAGAAGGAGCCACTACACTTCCTGCGTTGATAACGCAAGAATGCAGCTAAAATTAAATTGAACTGGTATTTTGAGTCGCTATAAAAGGAGTTAATAAAATGTTATTTTAGGTAAGCCAGTTTTGATGCGTCATCAATGGGTATGTTCGTCTGCTGTGTCAAATATGACACGACAAGAACAATTCTGAATATCATGAAAAGACTTAACTCAGCCCTAGAAAAAGATCATGCAATTTAAGCAAAATTCATACCAGAAACTATAGCTGCCATAAATGCACATGAGTAGTACATTCCGTTATAAGTTCATTCTTTCTACGAACGAGTCACATTTTGGAGACATTCCTGGTGCACCTTACGCCGCATTCATAAGTGCTGTTGTCATTAGTAAACGAGAGCCCAACGATGATCCTCTAGACCAATCATAGCGCAGCTTTTGGCACATGCCAGTGCTTTGATTGGTAGTAGCTAGGACATCTACTATTTTCCCATATTTTCCGCAGGGCAGAAGACGTTGGGAACAGTTAGGAAGGCGTTTTATGAGGGCGCCGTCATTCATTCGGTTCATTCCCTCGCGAGGTTGTGCAGGGGTAGGAGGGTGGATAGGTGCGTACTTGGTTACTTTTCATCTGTCCCATCGATTTGCGTAGCTATATCACTCGTGTACGCCTAAGGTTGAGCTCATAAGTGAAAGAGAAGACGGTGTGCATAGTTCCGGCCTGCGCCTCCACAGCAGCACAGCTCGCTTCCATCGATCGGTACCTTCCAGGACGAAGTGTCGGGCTACCAACATTAAGAAGCAAAAGTAAGTATGCCCATATTTTTAAAGGTATAGTCTGATTGATTAGCTGAATGTGTGAATGCATTTCACCTCCCCATCTGCCCGCAGCACATAATGATATGACAAGTTGGTATTTTGTTCAAACCAGAGGTGTAGGTCATAAGTTAAGCTGGAGGATAATCAGGAAAATGTCTAAAGTTACCCTCAAAACATGTTAATATGGGGTCTCCTGTAGATAAAATAGAAGGTAAAATGGCTTTTCACTTTATCCCAAAGCTGGGAATGAGAGTTTTCCTACCTGAATATGAAAATCCACCATTGGTGCAGAAGGAAGACAGTATGCTGCTAACACATGACAGTGAGGCTGCCACATCTTAAATTCTGGTCTTGTTGAAAGCTTTTAACCTGCCAGAGACCTTGTGGGTGCATGCAAAAGAGAACAAGATGTTGCAAAGGGAAAAAGAAAATAGATGGCCCAGATTTTACCAGCAGTGCAGCAAACTACAACCTGAATTTTGACAGCAAGCATCCCAGCAAATGAGCATGCATTGACTCAACAGTGCATTGATGCTATAGCCACCACTGATTTGGGCCACTATCCAGTGATGCAGACTTTAGCTCAGCTTCCAGAGACAGCTCCCTATGTCTCCAAGGACCAAATTGTGGAGGGTCTTTCTGATTGCAGGTGACACCCAGCTCTCTGGCAAGAAGGCCTGGACATGAGTTTCTGGCAAGAAGGCACTGGGTTGTAGCTGCTATTGTGACCAGTCTTGCACCCAATTTCAGATGCTCATGCATTTTGAAGGGATTGGGCTGTCAAAAATTGCTCTTGAGCTATGTATGTAGGAAGTGAGTAGAAACATACAAAAGTCTGGAGGATAGGGCAATATGTATTATTTCAAATGTATGAAATTCTATGAGTAATTGTACCAAAAAGTGAGTCAAATTCAAGTCTAAGTATGATTCTTGCTATTGCCTTAAACAGCAATTGACATGAAGGTTTATGAACATCAATCTGCCTGATATTGCCATGCCAGCTCTGAAAAATGTTTTCCTGCCAACCTCATTTCAAAACCAACACTTCACCACTGACTGTTTCTCTTGGTCAAATAAGTGCTAAGATATAAAAGTTGGACTGGGCAATATTTCAAAATTTATGGAGTTGAGTGTACAATGTGCATATGTTACATCATGCTAAGAGAGTTATGGTTGTGTGATGGTATATCCTGCCTGCAGCTCATCTTCTTGGCTGATAATGAGTTGCCTTCTGCCCCTTACAGTGACATGGGCAGCAGATCTGTTAAGCCCACCCATGTGACACCTGCCCAGCAGGTTTGCCAAGCTAGAGGTGCCTAGATGCTTGCTGGTTTGGCCTCCAGCCAGCACAATGCTGACTGGCAGATATTAAGTAAAAGGAGAAACAGCAGGTAGTGCAAGCTGAGTCAGGATGTATTGGCTTAAAATATCATCATTCTTTCACTCCAAGTATGTAGATATTTCTGCACTGGATGGGAGCCATGCAATTCTGTCCCCCATTTGCTTGGATTTGTTGCCTGCTTTCCGGAGGCATTTTCTGAGCATGTTAGATTGCAGGTTTTTTGGAACAGCCAGGCTCATTCCTCAGGATGGACACCCCCAGCCATGGGACAGTTTGAACAGCATGTTAGGCAATGCTTGTAGAATGCTGATAAAAAACGTAACACTTCCTGGCAGGGGTCAGCGCTCTGAAGCTGTTCTGCCTGGTGTTGGCATGGACACCAGCGGCACTTTGGCACGACCCGCGACACGGACGTGATGGCAGACGGCGGGTGGGGGCTGTGTTTTCCATAAACGCTCGGCAATAAGCACGCCCGGTCTGACCGCCCTTTCCCCTCACTCCCGCCCGAACGTCTTCCGTGCCTGTGGTCGGTCACGGACTTCTGCTCTTATCGACTCGTGTATACGTCCGCCGTGTTTCCTGTCGCCAAATGTGTCGGAGGATCGTACTGGTGCGTTAGAGCGTGCAAACGGTCCTCTGCTCTGCGGTAGACCCGGCCTCCTTGTGTACGCTTTGCTTGGGACTCTTCCATGGTTAGCAGCTACCTGGTTTGTTTATGGTGGCCCTTCGGGTGAAAGCCTGTGTTCCCAGGAGACGGGCTTCAAAGTCAGTACCGAGAGGCTTGGTGTTAAGTCGATCACGGTTTCGACGGAAGGAAGTGATCCGCTTACTCGATGTTTGTTATTGTTGGCGTCTGTAGCTGCCCAGCCATGATCCGTGAATTGGTCCCTTGACGGTGGCCACGGGTCGCCTGCGCAACATCGGGCTAATGTCGCGGAAGACAGCAGGTGTCCTGCCGCCTTTTTAATTGATTTCCAGCGTTAATGTATTCCAGTAATGACGTGCATTTGCACGTTTACTCTCCAGAGCTGCTCCTGCTCGGTATGCCTGGCTCGTTTCGGCAGCAGGAGGCATTTCGCAATTTTTGTACGCTCTGCCCAAATGTTTCCGAATGCGTTTTCGGCACGGCGTCTGGGGGCTGAAACGACCATTAGGCGAAGGCAAGGTCCTTGTTAAGAGATACCAAGCTTCACCCATGGCGCCGAACAGTACTTCCGTATGCATCTTCTGGTTGAGAAAGGGATACTTGCTCGGCTAGCCTGGATTTATAAACAGCAATAACGGCAATGAGACGGGCGCGTAATAGGCACGTTATGCTTGGATGTGCCAGCTGGTCAAATAAACCACACACTATTTATTTGGCAAACAGATCTGTTCGCGCAGGCCTCTATGATGTCCAGTTAATGACCTCACGCAGGCAGTCGCGGAAGTGCAAGAAATGGAGGCGAATGGCCGAGCGGACCGAGATCGTGTCACGTCTGGATGAGGAACGCGGCTGGCATGGCGCCAGAAACCAGGACAGTAGAGAACTGGACACCCCCGGTGTCAGCCGACCACAGCCGTGATATGGGGTTTTACTTGGCCAGGCACGGTTGACTGGCCGTGGCGCGTGTAAGCCACATGCCACCGGGTCCAGGTGTTCGGTTAGTTACTGACCGCTTCAACGCAATGTAGGCCACAATCTGCCCGATCCGGGCGCGCGCAGCTGCGGGTCGCCCGACTTCTCCCAGCCGCACGGCCCGCTGACCGCCGGCCGTTCCAGCCCGTGTCCGTGTCCGACCGGCGCGCGTGCAGACTATGCGCCATATTAGAATGGGGCCGGAAAGCGCCCCGGCCCCGGCCGCCGGGCCGTTCGGTGAACGCCGCCCGCTGCGCACGGCCGCCGCCGCCGCGCGCCTCCTCTCTGTGTACCGCCCCGGCGGCGGGTGTCGGCTGCGCCACTTACGGCGTCTGTCGGCGGCCGGCCGGCCACCGCCAAACAGGATGACACGTGCCGGCCGGCGCCGCTTCGCGGAACGCCGCCGGACCGGCCCCCGAGACGCAGCGGCGGTGCCGGCCGTCGGGGGGTAACGGGTGCGTGGCCTTCACTCTCTCGGGTGCCGCTAATGGCCGGTTTACGTTCTGCGGGGCGGCTTAGATAAGTCCGTTAGTGGCTCGTCTGACAATGCAGGCCATTAGGCCCGACGCTAGCGAGTTTTGTATCCCGACGAGACGAGAATGGCTGCGGAACGAGAGCTTTTGCCCGCTCAGGTACTGATAGCCGGTTACTTCTGTGGCTGTGCTGCAAGATGGCCTGGCGGCGGCGGATTGTGGCCACGCACGGGAAGGCGCCCTGTCAAGAATGACCAGTTATGTTGTATCGAGGACATTGTGCTGCCTAAGTGTTGCCTATTCCCACCAAAGGATGCCGAAAGCTTTTCTTGTGCTGTACTGGTCCTGAGGACGGAAGATTTTGTCGCATAGCTCCCATTTCGTGCTTTTATGTGTTCTGTCGTCTGCAAACTAGAGAGCCGTGTGTTACACCTTGGATTAAGCGGCGCACGCTCGTGCTGCGACTTGGTTTGACTTGATCTGCGAACGGTATAACCTGAGTTGCTTGTGTGACTTGATACCGTCCGAGGACTGTTTAGAGAACGAAGAACGCCTTTCAGGGTTCTCGTCGTCGCCACCAGAGTAAACATGTTCGAGCTGACTGAAGGATTACATCAGATACTATATATCACTGGCGCATTTAGAAATCATGGGTTCTGAAAACACGGCA